TTTAAGTCAGCGACTTTCTTTGAAAGTTTGAGAACAAAAATATGATTCCACTTGGGTTGTTATTCAGGGGAAAAAATAAGTTTCCAAGGCTGTTTGTTAAAAGAAGCAGGAGCTCGGCAGACAGCACCAGCTCCTGCGAGCACAGAGGGTTTCTGATAAGGTCAAGAGGAGCTCAGCCCAGGTCACAGAATAACAGAACCACAGAATATGCCGAGCCCACAGGGACCCACAGGGATCATCGAGCCCAACTCCTGGCCCTGCAGAGGACCATCCCCAGGAGTCACACCCTGTGCCTGAGAGTATTGCCCAAACTCTCGAGCTCTGTCAGGTTTGGGTCTGTGATGACTTCTCAGGTCCATCAAGGCTCAGTGAGCATTTCTCAGACCGTAAAGCGGCCTGGGGAAGCACCACCATGGGGGAAAACCCCCTCTGACCTCTCCCAAAGCTCAGCTTGGTGGACGCTCATCCCCAGCCCTGCTCCATCCTCCCCCAGGAGCTGGAGGACCGGAGCCCGCGGGGGCCCCAGATCCTCAAACCCACCTACGAGAAGTTCGACGTCCACCCGCGCGGCGAGGACGCGCTGCTCAAGAACTACGGCCTCCTGTCCTGCTTCAAGAAGGACCTGCACAAGGTGGAGACCTACCTGAAGGTGATGAAGTGCCGGCGCTACGGAGAGGGGAACTGCATCGTCTGACCCCCGGGATGGATCCCCCTCCCGCCCCCTCGGCCGCGGCTGCCCTGCCCCCGGGGGAGAAGATCGGAGAATAAACCCGCTACTGCCAACAGGCCTCTGCTTTTTTGGGGGGACAGGCTCTTGTGGGAGAGGGAAGGATGAGCTGCCACGGGGACAGGGTGGATTTGGAGCAGGACAGGGGGGATTTGGGGCTAGGGGGGTGAGGATTTGGGGTGGGGAGGGCGGACTTGAGGCTGACAGGGTGGATTTGGGGGTAGATTTGGGGCTAGCGGGTGGGTTTGGCTTTGGGGGGGCAGAGGTGGGGCTGAGGGAGGTGAATTTGAGGCTGGGGGTGGATGTGGGAGTAGATTTGGGGCTGGGGGGACTGGATTTGCGGTTGAGTGGGGTGATTTGTGGCTGTGGGGTGGATTTGAGGCACTTTCCCCTCACGCTCCAGGCCGAGGCAGGAGCGGGATGGCCGGGCCGGGCCATGGCGGCTCCAGTGCTGCCGTGACCGAGGGGCTGGAGCTGCGGGGAGCGGGGCCTGGGACCTGCCAGGGGCCACAGGAACAGGGTCCGGGACCCCTCCGGATCCCCCCAGATCCCCCCAGGGCTGGGGAGGAAGGCCCAGGGCACCCCCAGGGCTGAGTGATCTCTCCTCCCCCTCGAGGCAAGGCCTCAGCCCTCCCCATCTGTACTGAAGGCTTTACTAAATGTGCTGCTACCACACTAATAATTTATTTTTAAATCCTTCCCTTTTTTTCTCCTCTATTTTTTTGGTTTGTTTTAAATAATTTTTCAGTTCCCTTGTCTCCACCACAGGGGTGTTGGGCTAGCCCAGGGGGGATTCCAGCCCCAATTCCATGGCCAGTTTGGAGTCTTCCCAGCAAAAGTGCCCAGAGCTGAGCACAAGGTGGAAGAGCTGGAACCAAACCCCATTAATTTGCCTGCAAAATGCTGTGCCAATACTTCACTGAATAGTAAATCCACACAAAGCACAGCAGAAAGCAGGAGGCAGGTGGGGGTGAGGATGAGTAAGAAAATTGGGATTCTCTTAGTCAGGATCCAGCCTGGAAAAGTGAAGGCTCCAGGGTGACCTAATTGTGGCCTGAAGTGGGTCTACAAGAAACATGGAGAGAGACTATTTACTCCTTGATGCTGCAATTGCCTCAGCTTAAATCCTGAGAAGAAATTACATCTTGGAAGTGTACAGTAAAACTACTTTTGGGGGGTATCTTTGTGCAGAAATGCACATATATATTTTAGATGGGATGGAAAAACATTCATTTAGGGTACAGGATTGTTACGGGGCAGCCTGACAAGTCTGACACATGATAGCATCCAGGGCTGCTCTTTATGGAATCTGTGGGAGGGAAAATCCTGGTAAAGCCACAGTAGGTTAAATCAAATGATTTTTTAATAAGTTCTTAAATAAATCAAACTCCACATCTAAAAACACACTTTGCAAGCTTCCTTTTACCCAGGGGGAATGACTGGTAAAAGCTTTGGAGAATCCCTGCAGGTGATTGTGGGATCTGAACAAAAATACCTCAGTACCATGGTAAAACTGCTCGTGGTGCTTGGGGGGGTGGGTTCTGTGGGCCAGCCCCAGCACGAGTGTGGCAGTTTGGTCGAGGCCTTCCTTGGTGAGCAGTTTGTAACCAAGGAAGGGCCCAGATTTACCCAGTATTCCCTACGATTGTTACGTAAGCCAGGCTGGTGAGGAGGGGGCACAGCATGGCCAGGTTTGAAGCTGGCTCCCTGCCAAGTCTCCAAACCATACCAACGAGCCAGCCCTGAGCAGGGGATTTTCATTTCACTCCATCTAGAAACACCATGGCTTATCTGGGGAGGCTTTTTGTCCAGGTTACCCAGCTTACCTGGGCAGGTACAGGCATTTCTCAGCACAACCCTCATGGCAACGACAGCAAGGGAAGCCCTGGCTTGTGAGGGTCATGATTTGGGTCCTGCTCCTCTGCTATTGGAGTAGCTGAAATGAGGGCACAGAGAAGTGTCCCCAAATCCCCTGGGTGGTTGTAGCTCATTGCCAGCACTCAGCTCCATCACTGCTTGCACTCGTAGTGTCATTTATTGTGACCCTGATTTGCTTCCATTTTTCCCACAAAAAGGGACGTTTTGCAATTTCTTGTCTGCACATTGGCTTGAAAGGAGCCAAGTCCAGGGTGGTCTTGGCCTCTCTGGAGCTGCTCCTGTGGTGAACCAGCCCCGGGGCTGCCTCTGGCACTGGAACAGGCCCCAAGGCTGCCAGAGCTCAAGAAGTGTTTGGACAACACTCTCAGACACACGGTGGGATTGTTGGGGTGACTCATGCAGGGACAGGAGCTGCACTCGATGATCCTTGGGGGTCCCTTCGAGCTCAGGATATTCCATGGTTCATTCCTCCTGCAGTTTTCCTGGAGCAGTGTCTGACCAGCCTTGTGACACTTTGTTCCACCTGGTGACACTGAGTCACCTGGTGTCCACGGGCAGAACTGGCTCCCTTCCTTACTGAAGAGTAGCAGCAAAACTGGAGTATTTTGGAGTGTGACATAACTAATATCCATCACAATTTTTTTTATAAGTCCAGGAGACGAAATGTCTCCTGGTTTGTTCTCTCTTCACATTCTCCTCTGTACAGCCCCTGCTATCTAGCCTCTTTTAAACCCATGGAGAGCTGACCTAACTGGTCCTGACCGTAAGAGAAGCAAGCAGCAGAGTCAAACAGAAACCTCTGTTCTCCCAGCAGTCATCCCTCACCTCCCTGCCCTCTCACTCCCCTTCTGTGGAGCACTCACTCTCCACAAAGCACCAGCCAGACTGATGGAAAGGGAATTCAGAAGGACTTGCTGGGTGTCAGTCAACCTTTCCAAAGCAGAAATGTTCCTGAGTGGTGAATTTCAGGGAGACTGCCCCTTGTACGTGGTACAAATATGTTTCCAGGTGCAGAGGGATGAAGATAAAATTTGTTTTAGGGAGGGAAATTTGCCCTTGATTTCTCTTTGCAGGTCAATGAATTGTCTTGGGAACAGCTGGAGCTCAAAGAAGTTTTGTCTGATCTCAGTTTTGATGATGCCACTGAATTAGAGCAGCTCTGCCTTCACATCGTTTCCAAAAGTTTTGCAGTGTTTGATTAGGGATGAAATTTGAACTCCATGAGACGCCACGTGCGTCATAAACAACATTTGCTTTTCTTCCAGATATGTAACAAAGAAAGAAATGAGCAATAAACCTAATGTTGCTAAAATTAAGACCCCAAATATATGCTGGCTTTGGAGAAAAATTGTTTTCCTGTCAACTTATTGAGGTCATCTATATCTGGAACCAGTGGAGCTGCACAAGTATTTAGACAGAATAGCAGGTGTGTGTAGCAATTCCAGAACAACAAAAGGAACGAGCCCTCCCTGCAGGAACCCACATATGGCTCAGAGTCCCTCGAATCCATGGGAAAAAGCTGGAAGTGGAAGGCGTCTTACCAGCAGGAGTAGCTGTGGGACTGACAGTCTTTTGCACAGGCACAGGAAAAGTATTTCTCTAAGTGAAAATTGTTTTAAAGAAATAAGCCTAAGTATTGTAGTAATGTGTTGAGACTTTTGTGCCAAGTGAGCCAGAGGTGTTGAACCCCAACTATAAGTAATTGGAGCATTATCATTATGTAAAACAAAGAATCTTTTTCATTTCAAACATGTTTTTCATTAAAATAAATAAAATTCTGTAGCGTGGTGTGACGAATGAAACTCAGAGGCAGGACAAGCAATGGGAAGGGGCACCAAGCTCACCAAATCATGAGGTTGATGGGTTGGGGGGGGTGTATTTGATAAAAAATCCCTTGGAGCTGGTCCTTCCTCCTTATCTTCGTGCTGTTCAAAAACTGAGTTGTCAGAGTGGGGTTTAACCCACCAGCTCCATCCCAGGGGTTCAGTACTTGCCAGTTCAAACCACAGTCCCGCTGCTGGCACTGGACACCCGAGCACAGCCTCCCTCCCACACACACACGGGAACAGCCACACACACACAGGCGCTTCCCCCGTCTCACAGGACACTCTGGCTGCAGGAAACGGGATGTATTGGGAAAGACAAAACAGATGAACAAAAGGGGCTGTGGGGAGGGGACCCTGCCACACGAGCTGACCCCCTGGACATTGCAGCCCTGGCAAGGCTGCGCGCTCCGGAGCCTGCGCGGCGGCAGCGGCTGCTCAGGACACCTGGGGCTGCCTGGATCACCCCTTCCTGTTCCCTAAGGAGGAGCTTTGGAGGGCCCAGGGCATCCCACCCCCCTGTTCCCAGGTCCCCAGGGAGAAGCTATGGGGGTCGTAATGCATCCCACCTCCCTCTTCCCACCCCCTGTTCCCAGATCCCCAGGGAAAAGCTATGGGGGTCCTAAAGGATCCCACCACCCTCTTCCCACCCCCTTGTTCCCAGGTCCCCAGGGAGAAGCTTGGAGGGTCCCAGGGCATCCCACCCCCTCCCCCATTCCCAGGTGCCCAGGGAGGCTCCTCAGGGTGTCCTGAGCACGGCAGCCGCCTGCAGCATCCTCTCTGCAGAGAGGGCTCACGGAGTCAGCGGCCCAGATTTTGGGGTGCTGGAGGCAGGGCAGCGTCTGGGCAGGAGCATCTTGGGGCCTGGGCAAAGGCAGTTCCTCAAGTTTCATCCACCTGGAATAACAGCAAGGAAATCACATCCATGGAAATAACATTCGAGGAAAGAGTCAAGGAAATAGCAGTAAGGAAATAGGATCTAAGGAAATAACAGCCAAGGAACTGGGTTCCAAGGGAATAGCCAAGGAAATAACAAAAAGGAAGCAGCATCTAAGAAGATAACAGTTAAGGAAATACCACTCAAGCAAAGTCTCAGCAGTTCCTCTGTTGGAACAGGGGTTGGAGCATTGGCATCCCACTTACTTCTCCACCTTCTTGCAGGTGAAGTTCTTCACATTCGGTCTCTTTCTGGGAGGCATCTGTGTTCCCCTGCTGTCTCTCTTTCTGGGATTCTTCCTCCTCTTTATCAAGCTCATCCATGATGTATTGAGCCAGCAGCAAATCACTCTCGCTGAGCTCAGGAAAGCCCTGGGAAGTGCCATGGAAGAGAAGGATTGGGAGAGGTGAGGATGAGCAGGCAGTGCAGACAGACAGGCAGCACTGGCACCTGCTCCCTGCCCTTACCTCTACCTCCTCTAACTTCTTGTACTTGTTCTTCCTCCACTTCTGTCGCAGAATTACAAGGAAACTGAAAACAGGAGAAAAAAACAGGAAAAGAAGCAGGTGGGTTTGGACAGGGAGGGCAGCAGCAGGACCAGCACCTCTCCCTGCTCAGGGGGCCTTTCAGGAGAGCCTCAGGAAGACTGGGAGCCCCAGCAGGGATGGCACTGACTGGCCAAGCTCATCCAAGCCATCCAGGGGCGAGCATCACTGGCACGGAGAAGGGCTGGTTGGGATGTGCTCTGACATGTGTGCCCATCGCTCCCACTCTGGGCTCCTTTGCTGGGTCTCTCCCCAAAGCAACGTGTTTTAAACACAGGCAGGGGAGTCTTTGGCAGCGGCTCCCGCACGGCTGGGGGGCCTGGGGATGAGCTGCTCTTCAGAGTAAAGACTGTTGGTGGCACAGCAGTGGCACGGGCAGGGAGTAATTAATTACCTTCTCCACACAGTGCACAGGCATCGGCAAAACACTGCACAGGGTCGGGAGCAGAGCTGGGGAAGGAGAAAGGGAGACTTGTAACATCAGAGTTTTCTTGTGATACTCTGCAAAACAACAGAGGCCAAAAGGTTCTTCCTCCAACCCAGCCCATTCTATACACGTGCAAGTCTGTGCCAGCAGCCACAATTTTTAAAAGAGTCTGTCCTTCCTTCCCAGTTTCCCTCTTCTCCCTGCCTCTGGAACGTGAATGAACACCCAGAGCTCTCCTAACCCATTGCTGCATGGCTGAAGGCAGGAGAGCAAAGCTTTGCTGGGGAGAGTCAGGAAGGAGGCCAGGACAAGGTTCCCCCAAGCAGGCTGAACCCTGCTGAGCTGGGGGTGTGGATGCTGCCACAAGCTCCAGGGTTGGCCAAACATCTCCTGTGCTACCCGGCACGTGCACGGGGCTCCTCAACTGGGCTCTGCAGCTACAGGGCTTGACTGACAGCTGTGTCTCCAACAAGATACTGGCTTACCTTAAGGACACACACCACTGTCAGAGAAATGACGGCGAGGACAGACAGCAACACCACCAATGTGATTGTGTCATCCACGGGCTCTGGTTTCTCCTGGGACAAAAGGAGACAAGATCAGCAGGGGAGAGAGGGTTGCTCCTTCCATTCCCCATTGCCCTGAAGGACACATCCAGCAGTGCCCAGAAGTTCTCCTACCTCCCCTCTGTGTTCCTTGCCCTCCTCCAAGGCTGTGCGTCTGGAGATGTTCTCATCTATTGGGCACTGGCCCGTGAAAGCAGAGGCTCCCTCGTTCTCTTGTCTCTTGCTGAGCAGACTTAGAAGTAGCTCAGTCTTGGAGACTATCTTGGCACAGGCCAGCTGCAGCCTGGGCAGGTTGCAGTCCGTCCTCAGGGCTTGTTCTACACGGGCAAGGAATATCTGCAGGCCTTCGTCCGGCACCAGGTGATGGTAGCCCGTGATTTCAAAGACATCTCCTGGAATGGGCAAAACGTCTGGGCCCTCAGGGCTACCTGGCTTGTTGAGGGACCTGAACTTTTCCACTTGTTGCTTCCAGGCTGTCTCCCTGGTGTCAGGCAGGAGGGGGAAGTGCCCACCTTGAGAGGAAGGCTCTCCTTCAGCCCTGTCCTCTACCCTGCTGATTGCAGCGGGGCCGTTGTTAACCAGCGGGTCAGACAGAAAATCCAGGTTCCTGTTTAGACCCTGCTGGGCTTTGCTTTCTCTGCCTGTGGGCTCTCCCTGGGCTTTGGCAGGGCCCAACACCTGGTAGAAAAGTGGATTTTGGCCAACCCAATACTGGCTGTTGGTCTTCTTGTGTTCTTTCGTTTTCCAAATGTATTTCCTTATTGGAGATGGAGCTACATCCACATCTTTGTGGTGTCCAGAGACAGAGTCTTCATCAATGGGGTTTAACCCACCAGCTCCATCCCAAGGGTTTAATGCCTGCCAGTTCAAATGGGAGTCCTGCTGCTTTTGCTGGCTGGCCTTCTTGTTGTGCTGTTTCTGAGTCCAACCATAGTTCTGCTTTGAAGATGGGGCTTCCTCCTCCTCTTCTGCCTTGTGCAGATTATTCTTGACCTCAAACATCAGCTCATCAGCAGCTGTTTTGCCTTCCTGCCTGGAGAGGTGCTCAGGGGGATATGAATCTGATCTGGAATCCCTGAGGCTGCTGACATCCCCCTCAGTGCTGCTCAGGGTCAGGGCAACCCCAAGAGTTACAGTTCCATGGTCTCCCAGCGAAGGCTGCTTGGCCCTGAGGTTCAATACTGGGCTGCTCTTTGCTTTTCCGGAGGGCTCCACTTCCATTACTTCTCCCTGTGTCTGTGCCACAGGACCTGTGTGAGCTGGAGAACACCAAGACAGCAGATCAGCAACTCGGCACAAACACAGGGGCAGAGGTTTCCCCCGAGCAGCAGGAGCTCCTCTCTGAGACAAGGGAGTGGGTGAGGGGAGTGGTGGATGTGTTGGGGAGGGGAGGAGACTCCTTAAATCACTCTGATTGTCCCCTCAGGGCAGAACAGGAGATGTTTCTTTTCTGGTGTCTCCCAGGGCTCTGTTTGGATGGGAGGGAAACATCCCAGGGAAATGGGTTTGCTGTCGGAGACTCTCCCACAGCTCAATGTGAGCCAGTGCTGGGTTTCTAAATTCCCCAGAAAGCTTTGAAAGTCCGAGTGAGCCTGGCAAGCAGAATCAAGCCTGGCATGGGGTTGTGGAATTCACGTGGAGCAGGAGCTGCAGGCTGTGCCTGGGCTGGGGCAATGGCTGGGTGGGGTGGTTGGTCACCCCGAGACTCTGCAGGAGCCAGTGAAGAGAGAGAGAGCCCAGACTGAAGATCAGCCCAGAGGCTGCTGAGGCACTAACAGTGTTTGGTGTTCATCTAATGCCCTGCAAAGCACATGGGGGCTCCTGCCCTCTCTCCTGCACATGGGCAGGGAGGTGACACAGAGCCTGCAGAGCCTGTTGAGGGGCATCCACGCTCCTTCTGGGTCTTGGGCTTCCCAGGGTGGGTTTGGGGCAGGTTGGGGCCCACGTCACTGTGCCAGAGCAGCACAAACACTGCTGCACCCTTTGGCCACACGTGTGCTGGGTCTGGGACCCCTCTGGCCCCTGAGCTGTGACTGGCCAAGCTATGGTGGCACTGGAAAGGCTCAGGAGGTTCTCAGGGGAAATTGGGGGTTAGAAGCAGTGGCTGGGAAGGGCACAGGGCAGGCCTGCTTTCCTTGGCCACATGCACAGGGTGGGTTGGAAGCTCCTGTGTTTGTTTAGCCCAGAGAGCTCTTTCTTATCCAGACAGTATTTGACCCACCAGATATGTGGAATGACCAGGAACTTCCCAACCCGTGCTTGTTCCAAGTCTTCTCCAAGGGGAGATCAGGAATTGCCCCAAAACGGGGCCGTGCTGCAGCATCTCCTCAAGCTGGAGGCAACTGGGCACATTTGAGGGCTACCCCAAGCTCAGCAGGACACCTACCAGCACACTGGGCACTGCTGCTGCTGCACAGGTTCTCACAGAGGAACTGGATGGTCCTGCACGGGGTCTCGGTGCTGGCATGCTCCTGGCAGAGGCAGCAGGCCACATCCTTGGGCAGTTTGCTAAAGACAAGAGGTTATTGATTGGAGGAAAACCCAGCGTCCCAATCCATGTCTCTGAGGCCATGGGGGCCAACACACAGATAAGGCCTGGGGGATGTGCTTCCATGTCTGCCACAGCTCTGGAAAAATTCCCTCACGTGAATCCCAAAACACCAAAAACGTGATTTTTCCTTTGAAAGTGGAACTGGTCCCAAAAAAACATTTGAGAGAGAGAAACAGACCCGCCGTGATCTAAACCCCCCTTTGAAATTCTGCCTTGGAGCTGGTGAGGTTGGGAGGTTCCCAGAAGTCAACAGGAACCCTAAAGCTTCCTGGGGTTGTTGTGATTTAGGGAGAGGGATTTGTTTCCCAGGCAGACCCCCTGTCTCAGCACTGAGGCTCTGCTGGTGGCTGGCCCTCAGTCCCACCTACTCACAGGGTTTCCAAGTGCACTGTTGTCTGCAGGAGCAGCAGCAACGTCTGCGGAGTCACTTGAGTTGCACTCAGGTCCCTGCGAGCATTTCAAAGACCACATTCAATTTTCAGGTGACATTCCCACAGCTCTGCTCTGAGAGCAAGCCCAGGCCCCCGAGGAGCGTGGGGGTGCTGGCAGAGGGATCCACTTCTGCCTAATCAAAGACAAGCCATTCAAGACCCGACCGGCCTTCTGCTTTGCCCTGCTCCAAACCATGGCCTGGCAATCAGGAGGGGACCCTGCAGCTCTCGGGGCAGACAGATGCCAACAGAAAGGATTCTCCAGCTCCAAACCCTCCTGCTCTTCCCTGGGGGCAGCTCCAGTCCCTGAAGGAGGCAGGAGCCCCGGACTGCTGCCACCAGTGCTCAGACAGGACTGGAGTATTCCCAGAGCCCTCTGGCCACTCTGTGGCCCCAGACCTGGAAGGTCTCTCGTTTCTGAAAGTTTCTGTCCCAGCTGCTTGGGTGCTTTGCAGCTGGGGACACACCACAACTGATTGGACTTGTTCTGCCAGTGCCGGGGACAGTTGTGCCTCCAGCACAAAGAGGCTGGGAGAAGAGGGAACTTTGCTCCTGGATCTCTGCTTCCAGAGAACAGGCTACTGGAGAGACACAAAGATCTCTGTTGATCTGCTCCAGAGGAGTCAATACTTACAGATAGTTGACTGAAGGCAGCTTGAAGAATGCTGTGTCAGCAATCACGGTCAGGGGGTTGTGGCTTAGGAGCCTGAAAAAGCAGCAGAGAGCTGTGAGGGGTGATGGGAAGGACGTGAGCTCTGTGGGTCAGGGCAGGTGGGGATGGCCTGGCTGGTTCAAGGAAGCCCTGGAGAAGAGAAGCAGGTCGAGGGAAAGGGGCTTTCCGGCTGCAGACTCCTGGTGCTCCCTGGCTGACATCCACAGTGGGATTCAGTACTTTACACAGGGCAGAGCAGCTCTGCCCCAGTGTCCCTGCGGGGTCTGGCTCTGATGGGCCTTTGGACCTTGTCCCACTTACAGCTCCTCTAGAAACTGCATCCCGTGCCATGCCTGGAAAGTGCTGCTGTGGATCTGTGTGAGGCCATTCCCACTGAGGTTTCTGGGGAAAGAGAAGATGACAGAAATCAATCGGGTCTGTCCTACAGGATGCTGGGGCAAAGGAGGATCCCTTTGGAGGAAATGTGCTTTTACCAGGGGACATGTAGTGACTGTGCTGAAAACAGGAGCATTTTCTAACACAGAAAGGGTTCTAAACAGAAAGATTTCACTAAAGACACCACAAAGAAACTTCCTGACTCACAGAAGCCTCAGGAAAGGCAGTGGCTCAAAAGCACCTTCCTCAATCAACAGGATCCTATTGCCAGACAAGTCCCTGTTGCAATGAGAAGACAAAATGTTCACTCCATGGGCACTGTCCTTTTGACTTGCATTTGCAGGCTGGAAGCCGGGAGGACAAAGGCCACTTGCCCAGGGCTGGGCTGAGCAGCAGGGCCCCAAGGGAGGGGGAGGCAGTAGCCCGGCATGGTGGGCAGGGGCCAGTGCTTACAGGTGCTTCAGCAGGAACAGCCCCTCCAGGGAATGGCTCTTCACTGCCTGCAGCTCATTGTCCCTGAGGACTCTGCAATGACACAAACGGACAATGGTAGAGCAGCCGCTCCACCGCAGGCAATGGCATGTTCCTGGGAAAATACCCTGCGGCAGCTTTCCTGAAGCAACTCTTGGGGTCCCTGCAGGGATGGTCCCCACTCATGGCCAGCAGGCCCTTGCTCCTGGCTGGCTGGAGCTGAGCGGAGCCTGATCCCTGGGCAAACAGCCACGGGGACGGTCCCGTGCCTGGCACACAGCTCACGGCATTTCTTGGCATCCTGGGAAGGCCTGGGGAGTCACAGCCCTCCGTGCGGAGCAGCCCAACTTTGACTTCACTTGGGAAGGAGTTCTGTGGTGCTGCTGCTCCAAAACCAGACCAAAGGATGGAAAACACCCCAACTGCGGGCATTTGAAATGCTGCCAGGCACTTACAGAGTCTCAGTCCAGGGGTATTCCTTCCATGTTTGTTCATCCAAAGTAGCAATCGAGTTGCCAGTGAAATCTCTGCAAAGGAACAACAGACCCCTGAGGAAAAGCCCTTCCCCTGCCCATTTGGCTGCTGAGCTGGAAGTGGGATTTCCCTGGAGAAGGCACGGCTTGGCCAGCCTGGCTTCACCCTCCCAGTGCAGCACAACCCCCCAAAGGCACCGTGTCTCCTGGCAGTGACTCTGCCGGCTGTCCCGGCTGGGCTTTCCAGCACTAAGAAGGCGAGCAGGGGAAGCTGGAGGGGGGGTGTGGGGCAGGCAGGACTCACAGGACGGTGAGGGCCCGTCGGCGGGTGGCCGGGGGCACGGTGGCCAGGCCGGCGTGGCGGCAGTCCAGCAGTCCACGCCTCTGGCAGCGGCAGGGGTGCGGGCACAGCTCCTTGGACTCTCCTGGGCAGGGAGTCACTGCCAGCAGCAGGGCCAGCAGGAGCAGAGCACACACGACACGTGTCAGCAAGTCCATGGCGAACCACGACTGGCTGGAGTCGGCTGGGATGCAGAAAGAAGGGCTTGCCTTGGTGGTGTTCGTGTCACAGTGGGGATGCTGATGTCACAGTGGGGATGCTCTTGTCACAGTGGGGATGCTGATGTCACAGTGGGGATGCTCTTGTCACAGTGGGGATGCTGATGTCACAGTGGTGGTGCTGCATCAGAGCTCACAGCTCGACTGGAGTTCAGGCGAGCCTGTCACCAAATGACTCTGCCACAGAGCCATAAACCCATGGAATCCTGGAATGGATTGGCTTGGAAGGGGCCTTAAGGCTCATCCAGTCCCCCCTGCCCCTTCCATGGGCAGAGGCACTTTTCACTAGAGCACTTTGCTCCAAGTCCTGTCCAGTCTAGCCTTGAACACTTCAGGGACAGGATGGGGGAGCCACAGCTTCTCTGGGCAATCTGTGCTGGTGCCTCAGCACTCTCACAGGGAAGAATTCTCCCCCAATACACGATCTAACCCTGTTCTCAGTCAGTGTGAAGCCATTCTCATTTGGATTGGGTTTGCGTGGCCAGGTTTTGGTAGCGGAGGAGAGGCTACAGGGGTGGCTTCTGTGAGAAGCTGCAGGAAGCTTCCCCCATGTCCAGCTGATCCAATGCCAGCCAGCTCCAGGGCGGACATGCCTCTGGCCAAGGCTGAGCCAATCTGAAATGGAGGTAATGCCTCTGGGATAACATCCTTAAGAAGGGAAAAAAAGTTATTGCACAGATGTAATTGCAGCCAGAGTCAAGTGAGAATCTGTGAGGGGAACAGCTCTGCAGACCCCAAGGTCAGAGGAGAAGCAGGGGCAGGAGGTGCTCCGGGCTCTGGAGCTGAGATTCCCCTGCAGCCCATAGTGAAGACCCTGCTGAGGCAGCTGTGCCCCTGCAGCCCAGGGAGGACCGTGGGGGTGCAGAGATCCACCTGCAGCCTGTGGAGGAGCCCACGCTGCAGCAGGTGGATGCCTGAAGGAGGCTGTGAACTGTGGGAAGCCTGTGCTGGAGCAGGGAAAGGACTCTGGCTCCTGTCCCTGAGCAGTGGCCGAACAAGGTGGGATGAACTGACCGTGTCCCCCATTCCCGTCTCTCTGCGCCGCTGGCGCGGAGGAGGCAGAGCCCGGGAGGGAGGGAGCGGTGATGGAAGGTGTTTTTAAGATTTATTTTACTCCTCATTATGCCCCTCTGATTTTGTTGGCAATACATTGAATTACTATCCCCAAGCTGAGCCTGTTTTGCCCATGACGGCAATCGCTGAGTGATCTCTCCCTGTCCTCAACTCAGGAACCTTTCCCTGTATTTTCTCTGCCCTGTCCAGTTGCGCAGGGTGGTGACAGAGGGGCTTTGGAGGGCACCCGCCATCGAGCCGGGGTTAACCCACCACACGAGTGCTCTGGGAGACCGAGGGGAGCTTTGGAAAACCGGGGAAAGCTCGACATTCCCGCCAGGAGAGGCTGAGGGAGCCGCAGCCCCGCAGGGCGGGAAGCGTTGGGACCATGAGAGGCGGCAGCTCCACCTGAGCGCGGCGGCCCCGGGAGGGACCCCCGTCCCAAAGAAGCCCAGGGGAGCTTTGGGAACGGCGGCCAAAGCCCCAAAGCCCCCCAGCAGCGCCAGCAGAGGCGCCGCGGCCTCGGCAGGGAAGCGCCGCAGCTGCGCCTCAGAGGCAGCTCCGCCTCAGCGCGGCGGCCCCGGGAGCCGCCCCCCCCCGCCCTCAGCACAAAAGCGCGGGCAACCGGGTCGGGCCGGGCCGGCTCGGGCAGCGCTTGGGCACGGCGGGCTCCAGGCCCAGGGTCACAGCACCACGGACGGGGGAAAACGCCGCCAACACCATCCAGGCCAACCTGGGACCGGCCAACACCTTGTCAGCTACACCGGAGCCCTGAGTGCCACCTCCAGGCCTTTCTTGAACACCCCGGCAATGGGGACTCCACCACTCCTGGGCAGCCCATGCCAAGGACTGACCACCCTCGCCATGCAGAAATTCCTCCTCAGGTCTCTGTTTCCTCTCTCACACACCCTGACAACTATGCGACGGCTATTCAGAGCCACATTGAACAAAGCTGTCTCACAAGGTTGTGCCTTAACCCTCTCTGAGATGATGGCCATGCTCGATGACACCAGCCCCTCAGGCAGGGTCAGTGTCCAGCTGGTGTCAGAAATCCTCTCACCTCGGAAGCCCTTTTTGCCCTGCAGCAGCTTGGGAGTCACAAAGTCCTCCAGAGCTGCAGGGAGGGACGAGGCTGCCTGGAGGAATGAGACAGGAGGCACTGAGCAGCAGAAAATGCCCTCACCCAAACACGTTCCAGGTGGCACTCTTGAACATTTCCCTCCTGTGCCAGGGTTGCCTAAAAGCAGCACATCAAAGAAACTTCTAAGACTCAATTTGTGAGTTGTAGTAATCAGGCAGTCTTTAATCGGCTCTGAGATGCATCGCTCATCATTTTGCCAAAATGCACCTGCTTAAAAAGGAACTGGGTGTTGCCTGGCTGGGGGCCTCAGTTCCCCTCCTCATTGTTTCCTTCAATCACTCGGCTCAGCTAAAGGGAGTTTCTGTCTTGTACATACTCTCAGTTCTTATACATTTCTGAATTCCAATGTCGCATGGGGTTCCCAGGGCCACCAGGAGCTCCCACTCTGTTCCACGGCTCTGTTCAGCTCCCTGGGCTTTCACAGAGCCCAACACCTCATTGAAAACCTGTTTATGTCCAACCCAATCCTGGCTGCCTCTCTCCTTGTGCTCCTTGTTTGTGCTTGAGCTTCAGGACCAACCACAACCTTGTCAGCTACAACGGAGCACTGAGTGCCACGTCCAGGCCTTCTCTGACCACCTCCAGGGATGGGGACTCCCACTCCCTGGGCAGCCCATGCCAATGCCTGAACAGCCCTTCCATGCAGAAATTCCTCCTGATGTCTGGGTCACCTCCTTGAAAGGCTTTTCTCCGTCACTTGACTTCTTCCTAATGTGTCTTCTTCCAGAATGCTTTTTCCTCGGCAACAAGGACATCCCTGATGTATTGAAGGAACAGCAACTCGGCTTCGCTGAGCTTGGGCACACCCTGGAAAGTTCCCGGAGCTCTCCTAATCCCATTGCTGCATGGCTGAAGGCAGGAGAGCAAAGCTTTGCTGGGGAGAGTCGGGAAGGAGGCCAGGACAAGGTTCCCCCAAGCAGGCTGAACCCTGCTGAGCTGGGGGTGTGGATGCTGCCACAAGCTCCAGGGTTGGCCAAACATCTCCTGTGCTACCCGGCACGTGCACGGGGCTCCTCAACTGGGCTCTGCAGCTACAGGGCTTGACTGACAGCTGTGTCTCCAACAAGATACTGGCTTACAGTAAGGACACACGTCAGCGTCAGAGAAATGACAGCGAGGACAGACAGCAACACCACCAGTGTGATTGTGTCATCCAAGGTCTCTGGTTTCTCCTGCGACAAAAGGAGACAAGATCAGCAGGGGAGAGAGGGTTGCTCCTTCCATTCCCCATTGCCCTGAAGGACACATCCAGCAGTGCCCAGCAGCTCTCCTACCTGCCCTGTGTGTTCCTTGCCCTCCTCCAAGGCTGTGTGTCTGGAGATGTTCTCTTGTAGAAGACATTGGCCCCTGAAACCAGAGGCTCCCTCATTCTCTTGCCTCTTGCTAAGCAGCAAGACTTAGAAGCGGGTCAGTCTTGGAGACCATCTTGTGCTGAGGAGTGTGACTGGGAACGTTTTAAAGCCTGGAGAGAAATTTATGGCGCATGACAGGACTCTATCTTATGGACTTGCTTGTTTATAGCCAGTTTTAAACATTGTTTGGTGTGTTTTCCTCATATGATTGTATTAACCCCATTTTCCTGGATAGCCCGGGGCATGGCCAGGCTTGCCCAGAGCTGTTTTCCCGCCATAAGTTGTTCGCTCCCTCATTTTCCCGCTCATCCCGCACTGATTGGCTGAGCAGTGCTGCAGTGCGGGTGAGTCCCCATTGGGCCCTAATGCCCGACCCCTCCCACGCTCCTCCTCCCTTCCTGAGTTCTCCTGTCCTGTTATGCCCTGGGATGTCAATCTCATGCTCCTCCCCTGTTACCAAGCCCTTCTGACCCAGACCCTATGTAAGTCCCTGCTCTGCCGCAATAAATTGCCATTGCACCCCAACCTTCTGCCTTGTTGGGCTCATTTGTGCAGTGTTGCGGTCCCATTCCCTCACCCACGGGACCGTTGTCTGGCACCAGGTGATGATGGACCACGATTTCAAAGACCTCTCCTGGAACCAGCAAAACGTCTGGGCCCTCAGGGCTACCTGGCTTATTGAGGAGCCTGGACCCTTCCTCTTGTTGCTTCCAGGCTGTCTCCCTGGCGTCAGGGATGAGAGGGAAGTGCCCACCTCGAGAGGAAGGCTCTCCTTCAGCCCTGTCCTCTACCCTGCTGATTGCAGCGGGGCCGTTGTTATTGCAGCAGGGCCGTGTCTATTCACGGGACCTGTCGCCGGCACAGACCGAGGGGAGCCCCAGCCCCGCCGCTCCGCCGGCCCAGCGCGGGGAGCCTTGAGCCCCTGACGAGCGGCAGCTCCACCTGAGCGCGGCGGCCCCGGGAGGGACCCCCGTCCCAAAGAAGCCGAGGGGAGCTTTGGGAACGGCGGCCAAAGCCCAGAAGCCCCCCAGCAGCGCCAGCAGAGGCGCCGCGGCCTCGGCAGGGAAGCGCCGCAGCTGCGCCTCAGAGGCAGCTCCGCCTCAGCGCGGCGGCCCCGGGAGCCGCCCCCCCCCGCCCTCAGCACAAAAGCGCGGGCAACCGGGTCGGGCCGGGCCGGCTCGGGCAGCGCTTGGGCACGGCGGGCTCCAGGCCCAGGGGCACAGCACCACGGACGGGGGAAAACGCCGCCAACACCATCCAGGCCAACCTGGGACCGGCCAACACCTTGTCAGCTACACCGGAGCCCTGACTGCCACCTCCAGGCCTTTCTTGAACACCCCGGCAATGGGGACTCCACCACTCCCTGGGCAGCCCATGCCAAGGACTGACCACCCTCGCCATGCAGAAATTCCTCCTCACGTCTCTGTTTCCTCTCTCACACACCCTGACAACTATGGGAAGGCTATTCAGAGCCACATTGAACAAAGCTGTCTCACAAGGTTGTGCCTTAACCCTCTCTGAGATGATGGCCATGCTCGATGACACCGGCCCCTCAGGCAGGCTCAGTGTCCAGCTGGTGTCAGAAATCCTCTCACCTCGGAAGCCCTTTTTGCCCTGCAGCAGCTCGGGAGTCACAAAGTCCTCCAGAGCTGCAGGGAGGGACGAGGCTGCCTGGAGGAATGAGACAGGAGCCACTGAGTGGTGGGAAATACCATTGCCCATAAACTTCCCAATTGTGGCTCCTGAACATTTCCCTCCTCTCCCAGGGGTTCCCTGGTCCACCAAGAGCTCCGTCTCCGTTTCCACCGCTCAGTTCAGCTCCCAAGGGTGTGCAGGGGCATCAGGAGTGAAAAGTCTCCAACCGTCAGCCTGGGAGCCAGGCGGGTGTGAGGGAGCAGGGCAAAGGGATGCCAGGAATGGAAACAAGTCCCTGCTTGGGGCAGCAGCAAATCCCCTTCCAGCAGGTCTCACCTTCCCAGGAGGTGGATTTGCACCTTGAGGGCTGGGACAGTGATGCTGTGGATGAAGGTCTGTCCAGTCTGAGGAGTTCCCCAGGGTGAGTCAATCCACCCACGCTGGTTGAGAGGGTCCCCTGGGACGCTGCCCTGAGGGCCAAAGGAGTCCAGGAAGACTGGACATTCTCCAAGAAGGAAACCTTAGGGCACAGACAGGAACAGGTTGTGCCCATGTGCCAGAGGACAAGCTGGCAGGGAAGCACAGCAGCTGAGGAGGGAGCTTTGGCTGGGACTTGAGGGAAAACACAGACATCAACAGAGGAGAAATAGGGGAATCTCTATTTTTTATTGGATGCAGGGGGAAACATTGGCACAGAGGATGAAGAAGAGACTGAGGGCTTGATGCCTCCTTTGGGGTGCCCACAGCCTCCTCTGTGGGGAGGGATAAGTGCGCCGGCTCTGGGGGTGCACTGCAGTGACTGGGCACAGGCACCTCGTCCTGGGCTGCCGGCACTGCCCCACTGTGGCTGCTTCCCTGGGCTGCTTTGGGCTTCCCTCTGCAGCAAGAGCAAGGAAATAACAGTCAAGGAAATAGCATCCAAGGAAAGCCTGGGCAGTTCCTGGACTGGAACAGGAGTTAGAGAACAAGCACTGCCATTGCTCTTCCTTCCTCCTCACCTCCTTGAAAGTCCCTCACGGGCCTTCTTTATGTTGTATCGCTTTCCGGAATGCTTTTTCCTTGGCATCAAGGACATCCATGATGTATTGAACAAAGAGCAACTCAGCTTGGCTGAGCTTGGGCATTGTCTGGAAAGTGCCATGAAGAGGAATGACTGGGAGAGGTGAGGATGAGCAGGCAGTGTGGGCAGAGGGGCAGCACTGGAATGTGCTCCCTGCCCTTCCCTGCTCTACAGCCTCTCCCTCGCTGTACTCCTTCTTCCTCCCTCTCCACTGAAGTTTCTCAAGGAACCTGAAGAAATCCAAAGGGAAAATAAGGATCAAAAGTGAAGGCAGCTGTTGATGGTGGTTGAGGGCAGAAAGGCTCTGTGTGCCCTGCCCTGTCGGGGAAGCAGCCACTGGAGGAGTCGGGAAGTGACATTTCCAGCAGGGCAAACCATTGGAGTTTGCAAGGCAGACGGGGGAAAAAAAGGCTTTTGGGCATCATCTCCACAGAATTCCCTGCTCCCAGTCCATGAACAGGGAGGTTTGGCCAGGGAGGGCAGCAGCAGTGCCAGCACCTCTCCCTGCTTCTGGCAGGTGTTTCAGCAGAGCCTGAGGAATTTGGGGAGCCCCAGAAGGGACAGCGCTGGCTGGCGTGGCTGGGAATGAGCCCTGGGTGGGAAAGGCATCTGGAAAGGATGGGAGCAAGTTCTTTAAGAGCCTCTCTGGGGAGGAGGGCAGGGAGAAATAGGGCAGAGCCGTCCCCAGAGGAGAGTCTTGCTGGGAACTGGAGCAGAGAGGGATTTCCTTGTGGTGGCAGCAATGGGGGACCCCCCCGAGCCCGACCCCACCCCATCAGCGGTGCAGAGAAGGGCTGGTTGGGATGTGCTCTGACATGTGTGCCCATCGCTCCCACTCTGGGCTCCTTTGCTGGGTCTCTCCCAAAAGCAACGTGTTTTAAACACAGGCAGGGGAGTCTTTGGCAGCGGCTCCCGCACGGCTGGGGGGCCTGGGGATGAGTTGCTCTTCAGAGGAAAGACTGTTGGTGGCACAGCAGTGGCAGGGGCAGGGAGTAATTACCTTCTCAGCAATGATTTCCTACGGCATCGGGGTTGGGAAGCACAACTGGGGAAGGAGAAAGGGAGACATGTAACACCAGAGTTTTCTTGCCATACTTTGCAAAACAAGAGAGAGCAAAAGCTCTCCTAACGCCATTGCTGCATGGCTGAAGGCAGGAGAGCAAAGCAAAACTGGGGGGAGTAGGGAAGGAGGCCAGGACAAGGTTCCCCCAAGCAGGCTGAACCCTGCTGAGCTGGGGGTGTGGATGCTGCCACAAGCTCCAGGGTTGGCCAAACATCTCCTGTGCTACCCGGCACGTGCACGGGGCTCCTCAACTGGGCTCTGCAGCTGCAGGGCTTGACTGACAGCTGTCTGTCAAAGGAGTTATTAGCTTACATGGAGGACACACTTGAGCATCACAAAAACAGTGGTGACGGCAGACAGGAGTACCACAAACGATATTTCTTTGTCCCTGGGCTGTCGTTTCTGGAGGGAGGAAAGGAGACAAGATCAGCAGGGGAGAGAGGGTTGCTCCTTCCATTCCCCAGTGCCCTGAAGGACACATCCAGCAGTGCCCAGCAGCTCTCCTACCTGCCCTGTGTGTTCCTTGCCCTCCTCCAAGGCTGTGTGTCTGGAGATGTTCTTTTCCACAGGACACTGTCTCGTGAAAGCAGAGGCTCCCTCGCTCTCTTGTCTCTTGCTGAGGAGATTTAGAAGCAGCCCAGTCTTGGAGACCATCTTGGCACAGGCCAGCTGCAGCCCGGGCAGGCTGCAGTCCGTCCTCAGGGCTCGCTCCATGTGGGCCACGAACACCCGCAGGCCTTGGTCCGGCACCAGCAAGCGCAGGGAACGATCGACCGTGGTTTCAAAGTCCTCTCCTGGAACGGGCAAAACGTCTGGGCCCTCAGGGCTACCTGGCTTGTTGAGGAGCCTGGACCCTTCCTCTTCTTGCTTCCAGGCTGTCTCCCTGGTGTCAGGCAGGAGGGGGAAGTGCCCACCCCGAGAGGAAGGCTCTCCTTCAGCCCTGTCCTCTACCCTGCTGATTGCAGCGGGGCCGTTGTTAACCAGCGGGTCAGACAGAAAATCCAGGTTCCTGTTTAGACCCTGCTGGGCTTTGCTTGCTCTGCCTGTGGGCTCTCCCTGGGCTTTGGCAGGGCCCAATGCCTGGTAGAAAAGCAGATTTTGGCCAACCCAGGATTGGTTGCCTCTCTTCTTGTGCTCTTTGTTTGTCCACATGTAGTTCTGCCTTGGAGATGGAGCTACCTCCACACCCTTGTGCTATCCAAAGACAGAGTCTTCATCGGTGGGGTTTAACCCACCAGCTCCATCCCAGGGGTTCAGTACTTGCCAGTTCAAACCACAGTCCCGCTGCTGGCACTGGACACCCGAGCACAGCCTCCCTCCCACACACACACGGGAACAGCCACACACACACAGGCGCTTCCCCCGTCTCACAGGACACTCTGGCTGCAGAAAACGGGATGTATTGGGAAAGCATTCCCAACCGGGAAAGACAAAACAGTTGGACAAAAGGGGCTGCGGGGAGGGGACCCTGCCACACGAGCTGACCCCCTGGACATTGCAGCCCTGGCAAGGCTGCGCGCTCCGGAGCCTGCGCGGCGGCAGCGGCTGCTCAGGACACCTGGGGCTGCCTGGATCACCCCTTCCTATTCCCTAAGGAGAAGCTTTGGAGGGCCCAGGGCATCCCACCCCCCTGTTCCCAGGTCCCCAGGGAGAAGCTATGGGGGTCCTAATGCATCCTGTCTCCCTCTTCTCACCCCCCTGTCCCCAGGACCCAGGAAGAAGCTGTGGAGGTTCTAAAGTGTGGGAATTTAAAAAATGGTAACTCCCAAGGGGGTGGTGTCCCTTGGGGTTGAACCAGTCAGCGCTCTTGCAAAATATAAACATTTCACAAGCAGATCGGACTTTTATTGGAAGGTGAAGAGAGTGATCCATTGTAAATACTGATTTATCATTGGAGAGATAGTTAAGGTTATGTATATGATGTATTATAATATATATTTGTGTACTCATTGTAATATAATCCCCTTCCCCCCATATTGTCTTGTGTTTGGAAAACCCATCTCACACTGGGCTGAGATGTGGGAGGGGGGCTTGGACTCGGGAATTGCATTTTGGGGCTCTCAAACCAGGACATAAAGGCATCCCACCCCCCTGTTCCCAGGGAGAAGCTATGGGGGTCCTAAAGGCATCCCACCTCCCTCTTCCCACACCCCTGTTCCCAGTACCCAGGCAGAGGCAATGGGGTTCCCGAAGGCATCCCTTGTTCCCATGGCCCCAGGGAGAAGCTTGGAGGGTCCCAGGGCATCCCACCCCCATTCCCAGGTCCCAGGGAGGCTCCTCAGGGTGTCCTGAGCACGGCAGCCGCCTGCAGCATCCTCTCTGCAGAGAGGGCTCACGGAGTCAGCGGCACAGATTTTGGGGTGCTGGAGGCAGGGCAGCGTCCGGCCAGGAGCATCTTGGGGCTGGGCAAAGGCAGTTCCTCAAACTTCTTCCACCTGGAATAATGACGGTGGCCTGAATGATGCTCTCAGACTGCAGCTTGGCAGGCCAAAAGATTTCATTATAAACAAACTTGTTCTTTTTATTTACTTTTCCTCTGTCCACGCACTAATATAATACATGTCATTGGTTAAGTGTTCTTGTTCGCGGGTCTGTATCTCATCAATAATTGGTCTCTAGCTTCTGTGCACGCCCCCCATCCTGTCTACTGACAGCTCACCGGCATCTCTTCTCATGGCCAAACACATTCCTCTCTCTGCAGCTGTTTTTCTTCTCTTTCTCACACTTTCTTCCTTCATGAGGTTTTACTTGTCCCTTTGCCAGGCCACAGCTGTAGCTCAAGGTCAAAGCTGCCTTACTACAGAAGAACAGCAAGGAAAACACATCCAAGGAAATAGCACGGAAGCAAAAGAACATTCTAGGAAAGGGTCAAGGAAATAGATGCTGTTTCCTTTCTGTTCTTTCCTTGGCTATTCCATTGGACCCTGGTTCCTTGGCTATTTCCTAGGTTATTTCCTTAGATCCTGTTTTCTTACTGCTAAGAAGATAACAGTTAAGGAAATAGCACCCGAAAAAAGTCTCAGCAGTTCCTCTATTGGAACAGGGGCTGGAGCACTGTCTCGTGAAAGCAGAGGCTCCCTCGCTCTCTTGTCTCTTGCTGAACAGACTTAGAAGCAGCTCAGTCTTGGAGACCATCTTGGCACAGGCCAGCTGCAGCCCGGGCAGGCTGCAGTCCGTCCTCAGGGCTTGTTCCACATGGGCCATGAACGTCCACGGGCCTTTGTCTGGCACCAGGTGATGATGGACCACGATTTCCAAGACCTCTCCTGGAACGGGCAAAACGTCTGGGCCCTCAGGGCTACCTGGCTTGTTGAGGAGCCTGGAGCCTTCCTCTTCTTGCTTCCAGGCTGTCTCCCTGGTGTCAGGCAGGAGGGGGAAGTGCCCACCTCGAGAGGAAGGCTCTCCTTCAGCCCTGTCCTCTACCCTGCTGATTGCAGCGGGGCCGTTGTTAACCAGCGGGTCAGACAGAAAATCCAGGTTCCTGTTTAGACCCTGCTGGGCTTTGCTTTCTCTGCCTGTGGGCTCTCCCTGGGCTTTGGCAGGGCCCAATGCCTGGTAGAAAAGCAGATTTTGGCCAACCCAGGATTGGTTGCCTCTCTTCTTGTGCTCTTTGTTTGTCCACATGTAGTTCTGCCTTGGAGATGGAGCTACCTCCACACCCTTGTGCTGTCCAAAGACAGAGTCTTCATCGGTGGGGTTTAACCCACCAGCTCCATCCCAGGGGTTCAGTACTTGCCAGTTCAAACCACAGTCCCGCTGCTGGCACTGGACACCCGAGCACAGCCTCCCTCCCACACACACACGGGAACATCCACACACACACAGGCGCTTCCCCCGTCTCACAGGACACTCTGGCTGCAGAAAACGGGATGTATTGGGAAAGACAAAACAGTTGGACAAAAGGGGCTGTGGGGAGGGGACCCTGCCACACGAGCTGACCCCCTGGACATTGCAGCCCTGGCAAGGCTGCGCGCTCCGGAGCCTGCGCGGCGGCAGCGGCTGCTCAGGACACCTGGGGCTGCCTGGATCACCCCTTCCTATTCCCTAAGGAGGAGCTTTGGAGGGCCCAGGGCATCCCACCCCCCTGTTCCCAGGTGCCCAGGGAGTAGCTATGGGGGGTCCTAATGCATCCTGTCTCCCTCTTCTCACTCCCCAGGACCCAGGACCCAGGAAGAAGCTGTGGAGGTTCTAAAGTGTGGGAATTTAAAAAATGGTAACTCCCAAGGGGGTGGTGTCCCTTGGGGTTGAACCAGTCAGCGCTCTTGCAAAATATAAACATTTCACAAGCAGATCGGACTTTTATTGGAAGGTGAAGAGAGTGATCCATTGTAAATACTGATTTATCATTGGAGAGATAGTTAAGGTTATGTATATGATGTATTATAATATATATTTGTGTACTCATTGTAATATAATCCCCTTCCCCCCATATTGTCTTGTGTTGTGTTTGGAAAACCCATCTCACACTGGGCTGAGATGTGGGAGGGGGGCTTGGACTCGGGAATTGCAATTTGGGGCTCTCAAACCAGGACATAAAGGCATCCCACCCCCCTGTTCCCAGGGAGAAGCTGTGGGGGTCCTAAGGGCATCCCACCTCCCTCTTCCCACACCCCTGTTCCCAGTACCCAGGAAGAGGCAATAGGGTTCCTAAAGGCATCCCTTATTCCCATGGCCCCAGGGAGAAGCTTGGAGGGTCCCAGGGCATCCCACCCCCATTCCCAGGTCCCAGGGAGGCTCCTCAGGGTGTCCTGAGCACGGCAGCCGCCTGCAGCATCCTCTCTGCAGAGAGGGGTCACCGAGTCAGGGGCCCAGATTTTGGGGTGCTGGAGGCAGGGCAGCATCCTGGCAGGAGCATCTTGGGGCCTGGGCAAAGGCAGTTCCTCAAACTTCTTCCACCTGGAATAATGACAGAGGCCTGAATTGATGCTCTCAGACCCAATCAGCGCTTCAAACATATCACACCAGACCGGGAAAGAAGGATGATGATGTAGTTGGAAGACAGGCAGTCATGGTCTGAGCCATGAGGAGGAGCCAGGAGCCCTGCTGGGTGCCAAGGCCCCCCAGCCCCCCCAAAGGCTGGGGCTGCAGAAACTCAGAAACAGTGTTAAACTGGGCTGAGTACTGTGGCCAAGAGCTGAGGGAGTCTTTCTCCACTGTGAGTGGGCAGCAGGAGTGGCAGCAGAGACAGCACCAAACAGAGAGCTGTGGCCGAGAGCCAAAAGAGATAACAAGCAGCAGAGATGGCACAAAAGCAAGCTGAGAGACAGAGCTATCCGACGGAGAGACACAGCGCCAAGCTCAGCGGAGGCTGTTGGGGGCTGAGCCTGGCTTTATTTCCCCAAACCCTTGGAGACCCCTCCTAGAAGGAAGGCGTGGACTTCCATTTGAAGGGAGTCCTGAAATGCAGCAGCACTGGAGAGAGGAGCTGAGAAGCTCAGAGATGTCCTGTGAGCTGGACCAGGATGGAATGCGGGGGAAGTGGCCTTTTCCCCCCTGCCACGTTGGCAGTTGGAGACGGAGCAAAGGAGCTCTGTCAGAACAGTTGGGGCAAAGACTGAACTGAGAGCTGCCCTAAACGTTCTGACTCAGGAGGAACTTGAATCCCCCCAGGAAGGGACTTTCACAAAGATGCCCTGCACCTCGTGATACGACCGTGGTGAAGCGAGTTTTTGTCCCTGCTGGCAGTCCACGGGCGAGACCTTCGGGTGGAGCCGAAGGGCTGAGAGGGGTGAGAGAAAACCCCCATACTGTGATGAAGAGACAAATTTTCCAGCTACGACAAAGCCAGCTACGACTGCTGCCTAGAAGAGGAGAGACACTGCTGCCCTGGAAGTGGGAAGGATCTTTCCATCTTCCCTTCTGAACTTTTCTTGGAGGGAAAAGGAGGGACTTAATCCAATGGAAATATTGCTTGACCATAGGAGAAATACTTTCCCCTGATACTGAGTCTTGTCTTATGTCTGGAAAACCCTCTAACACTGAAGCAAATTGTGGAAGGGGGGCTTGGACTTGAAAATTGGACGACACCATGGAACTGTAACTCTTGGGGTTGCCCTGACCCTGAGCAGCACTGAGGGGGATGTCAGCAGCCTCAAGGATTCCAGATCAGATTCATATCCCCCTGAGCCCTCCAGGCAGGAAGGCAAAACAGCTGCTGATGAGCTGATGGTCGAGCTCAAGAATAATCTGCACAAGGCTAAAAGCATCAGGACTGTGAAAAGCATCGTCTCACGCCAGCCCCAGCCTGTCAGGGAGAAGGATGTGCAGGCAAAGACACCCTCAGGCTGGGATAAAAGGAACAGGACTCCCATTTGAACTGGCAGGCATTAAACCCCTGGGATGGAGCTGGTGGGTTAAACCCCACTGATTAAGACTGTCTTTGGACACCACAAAGGTGTGGATGTAGCTCCATCTCCAATACGGAAATACATTTGGAAAAAGAAAGAGCACAAGAAGACCAACAGCCAGTTTTGGGTTGGACAAAATCTACTGCAGGTTGGCAGGCCAAAAGATTTTATTAAACAAACTTGTCCTTTCTGTTCTTTCCTTGGCTATTCCCTTGGACCCTAGTTCCTTGGCTATTTCCGAGGTTATTTCCTTAGATCCTGTTTCCTTACTGCTAGCAAGATAACAGTTAAGGAAATAGCACCCGAGCAAAGTCTCAGCAGTTCCTCTATTGGAACAGGGGCTGGAGCATTGGCATCCCACTTACTTCTCCACCTTCTTGCAGGTGAAGTTCTTCACATTCGGTCTCTTTCTGGAAGATATCTGTGTTCCCCTGCTGTCTCTCTTTCTGGGATTCTTCTTCCTCTTTATCAAGCTCATCCATGATGTATTGAGCCAGCAGCAAATCCCCCTCGCTGAGCTCAGGAAAGCCCTGGGAAGTGCCATGGAAGAGAAGGATTGGGAGAGGTGAGGATGAGCAGGCAGTGCAGACAGACAGGCAGCACTGGCACCTGCTCCCTGCCCTTATCTCTTGGGGCAGTTTGAGCCACCACAGAAATCCAAAATCCAATTTCCACGCTTTCCCCACCCCTTCCCACAATTTATCTCAACACCAAAGAGAAAACTTTCAGGCAAGAGGCTTCTCTAGGGGAAAGGGGAATTGTGTATTTATTCTACACAATAAATACACAATAAAGACTGTACAAGCTAAAAGCAACTATAGATATAACATTATACATTTCTATCAGTCCCTTTAAGCCTCTCCCTTTAACTTTAGTCCAGGAAAAGCCCTTAGGCTGAGAGGTAACGCAGTCTCTCTCTCGTGGCAGTGTTCAGAGAACCAGAATGCTCCCCCCACCAACCCCCAGCTGTTTGCTGAAGTCCTTTCTTCCTCACAAAGTCCAAAAAGATAGCTCTGAGTCCATCCTCCTTGCTTCTGTGTCAGTCTCTGCTGTGTCATTGTCTCCCTCAGACCCCTCAGACCTCGGTTCTGTAGGCTGCTGTAGTTCAGTCAGCTTATCAACGTACATGTCCTGGAATGTTCATTCCTCCTCCGAGTTTTCGGCTGTCCTCCCTTTAGATCACAGCAGAGATGTTCTCCGGGCCTTTCTCTGCTCCGTCTCCAGTTTCACCTGGGTTATCTCCCTGGCACCGAGCTCTACTCAGCCCGTCCACTTGGCTCTGCTTCACTGCTGAGCCTTCCCTCCCCTCTCTGATGAGCTTCCTTAATGCTGTCCTGCAATGCCTGACATACACCCCGCCGCTGGCCAACTATCTGCTCTCCCGCGAGCACAGCCAGGCCTGTGAGTACTCTTAGGGACATCTCCTTGTAAAGCTGTTAATCGAATCCCAAGGATTCCCAGAACCTCAAATTTGATTTAGGAGAAAAGCAGCCCTTTGTCAGCCCCAGAACTTGTGTTCTTTGTACACTCAGGAGCCACCTGTCCTATCCAGCTGTCTTATTCTTCATGAAGGCACATCTTTCTAGCTCTGGGTCACTATTCCTGCAAGTTAAAACCTCAGTTTAGCATTCCTCTGAAGAACATTTTCTATGCACTGAAACGTCCCGTGCCTGTTGAAACACTGGGAGGAGTGGCATATTGCACTGGAGTGGGAGTGGAAGAAGAGGAGTATTCCACCACTAGGGATATTTTGCTAACCAGAGGACCTTCTCTCCCTCCCTCCTCAGGTCGCCAACAAGGCTTCTGCATGATGTGCATCATGGAAGCGCATGTTAACAAGGTCCTGCGTTCCTCAGTCAGTGCCATCCTGCCTTTGGCTGTTCTCAGGGGTTTCAGATGTATGTGATTTCAGGTTCTTTGACAGGTTTTCTTCCCTTCCTGTAGGAGACAACTACTAACTTCCTGTTTCTTAGTCATAGGAGAACATTTTCAGCTTGGCAGGGAGGAAGATGCCCATGACTTCTTATGCTGTACTGTCAATGCCATGCAGAGAGCTTGCCTGGGTGCAAGCAACGAGTAAGCACAAGCAAGTTACCTCTGCTGGCGCTGCTGGGGGGCTTTGGGGCTTTGGCCGCCGTTCCCAAAGCTCCCCTCGGCTTCTTTGGGACGGGGGTCCCTCCCGGTGCTGCCGCGCTCAGGCGCAGCTGCCGCTCGTCAGGGGCTCAAGGCTCCCCGCGCTGGGCCGGCGGAGCGGCGGGGCTGGGGCTCCCCTCGGTCTGTGCCGGCGACAGGTCCCGTGAATAGACACGGCCCTGCTGCAATAACAACGGCCCCGCTGCAATCAGCAGGGTAGAGGACAGGGCTGAAGGAGAGCCTTCCTCTCGAGGTGGGCACTTCCCTCTCATCCCTGACACCGGGGAGACAGCCTGGAAGCAACAAGAGGAAGGGTCCAGGCTCCTCAATAAGCCAGGTAGCCCTGAGGGCCCAGACGTTTTGCTGGTTCCAGGAGAGGTCTTTGAAATCGTGGTCCATCATCACCTGGTGCCAGACAACGGTCCGGTGGGTGCGGGAATGGGACCGCAACACTGCACAAGGAAGTCTGACAAGGTAGAAAGTCAGGCTGCAATGGCAATTTATTGCGGCAGAGCAGGGACTTATATAAGGTCTAGGTTCAGAAGGGCTTGGTAACAGGGGAGGAGCATGAGATTGACATCCCAGGGCATAACAGGATAGGAGAACTCAGGAAGGGAGGAGGAGCGTGGGAGGGGTCGGGCATTAGGGCCCAATGGGGACTCACCCGCACTGCAGCACTGCTCAGCCAATCAGTGCGGGATGAGCGGGAAAATGAGGGAGTGAACAACTTATGGCGGGAAAACAGCTCTGGGCAAGCCTGGCCATGCCCCGGGCTATCCAGGAAAATGGGGTTAATACAATCATATGAGGAAAACACACCAAACAATGTTTAAAACTGGCTATAAACAAGCAAGTCCATAAGATAGAGTCCTGTCATGCGCCATAAATTTCTCTCCAGGCTTTAAAATGTTCCCAGTCAGACTCTGGCTCCTCAGCACAAGATGGTCTCCAAGACTGAGCCACTTCTAAGTCTTGCTGCTTAGCAAGAGGCAAGAGAATGAGGGAGCCTCTGGTTTCAGGGTCCAATGTCTTCTACAAGAGAACATCTCCAGACACACAGCCTTGGAGGAGGGCAAGGAACACAGAGGGGAGGTAGGAGAGCTGCTGGGCACTGCTGGATGTGTCCTTCAGGGCAATGGGGAATGGAAGGAGCAACCCTCTCTCCCCTGCTGATCTTGTCTCCTTTTGTCCCAGGAGAAACCAGAGCCTGTGGATGACACAACCACATTGGTGGTGTTGCTGTCTGTCCTCGCTGTCATTTCTCTGACGCTGACGTGTGTCCTTATTGTAAGCCAGTATCTTGTTGGAGACACAGCTGTCAGTCAAGCCCTGTAGCTGCAGAGCCCAGTTGAGGAGCCCTGTGCACGTGCCGGGTAGCACAGGAGATGTTTGGCCAACCCTGGAGCTTGTGGCAGCATCCACACCCCCAGCTCAGCAGGGTTCAGCCTGCTTGGGGGAACCTTGTCCTGGCCTCCTTCCCTACTCCCCCCAGTTTTGCTTTGCTCTCCTGCCTTCAGCCATGCAGCAATGGCGTTAGGAGAGCTTTTGCCCTCTCTTGGTTTGCAAAGTATGGCAAGAAAACTCTGGTGTTACATGTCTCCCTTTCTCCTTCCCCAGTTGTGCTTCAGATCTTGTGCAGATGGTTCCCAACCCCGACGCCGTAGGAAATCATTGCTGAGAAGGTAATTACTCCCTGCCTGTGCCACTGCTGTGCCACCAACAGTCTTTCCTCTGAAGAGCAACTCATCCCCAGGCCCCCCAGCCATGCGGGAGCCGCTGCCAAAGACTCCCCTGCCTGTGTTTAAAACACGTTGCTTTTGGGAGAGACCCAGCAAAGGAGCCCAGAGTGGGAGCGATGGGCACACATGTCAGAGCACATCCCAACCAGCCCTTCTCTGCACCGCTGATGGGGTGGGGTCGGGCTCGGGGGGGTCCCCCATTGCTGCCACCACAAGGAAATCCCTCTCTGCTCCAGTTCCCAGCAAGACTCTCCTCTGGGGACGGCTCTGCCCTATTTCTCCCTGCCCTGCTCCCCAGAGAGGCTTTTAAAGAACTTGCTCCCATCCTTTCCAGATGCCTTTCCCACCCAGGGCTCATTCCCAGCCACGCCAGCCAGCGCTGTCCCTTCTGGGGCTCCCCAAATTCCTCAGGCTCTGCTGAAACACCTGCCAGAAGCAGGGAGAGGTGCTGGCACTGCTGCTGCCCTCCCTGGCCAAACCTCCCTGTTCATGGACTGGGAGCAGGGAATTCTGTGGAGATGATGCCCAAAAGCCTTTTTTTCCCCCATCTCCCTTGCAAACTCCAATGGTTTGCCCTGCTGGAAATGTCACTTCCCGACTCCTCCAGTGGCTGCTTCCCCGACAGGGCAGGGCACACAGAGCCTTTCTGCCCTCAACCACCATCAACAGCTGCCTTCACTTTTGATCCTTATTTTCCCTTTGGATTTCTTCAGGTTCCTTGAGAAACTTCAGTGGAGAGGGAGGAAGAAGGAGTACAGCGAGGGAGAGGCTGTAGAGCAGGGAAGGGCAGGGAGCACATTCCAGTGCTGCCCCTCTGCCCACACTGCCTGCTCATCCTCACCTCTCCCAGTCATTCCTCTTCATGGCACTTTCCAGACAATGCCCAAGCTCAGCGAAGCTGAGTTGCTCTTTGTTCAGTACATCATGGATGTCCTTGATGCCAAGGAAAAAGCATTCCGGAAAGCGATACAACATAAAGAAGGCCCGTGAGGGAGAGAAGACTTTCAAGGAGGTGAGGAGGAAGGAAGAGCAATGGCAGCGCTTGTTCTCTAACTCCTGTTCCAGTCCAGGAACTGCCCAGGCTTTCCTTGGATGCTATTTCCTTGACTGTTATTTCCTTGCTCTTGCTGCAGAGGGAAGCCCAAAGCAGCCCAGGGAAGCAGCCACAGTGGGGCAGTGCCGGCAGCCCAGGACAAGGTGCCTGTGCCCAGTCACTGCAGTGCACCCCCAGAGCCGGCGCACTTATCCCTCCCCACAGAGGAGGCTGTGGGCACCCCAAAGAAGGCATCAAGCCCTCAGTCTCTTCTTCTTCATCCTCTGTGCCAATGTTTCCCCCTGCATCCAATAAAAAATGGAGATTCTCCTTTTTCCTCCTCTGTTTGTTGATGTCTTTGTAAAAGCTTTTTCTGTTCTCTCTTACAGCAGTGCCCAAATTAAGCTCGAGTTGGGCTTTTGCCTTTCTAACTTTCTCCCTGCATAACTTGGTGACATCCTCACTGTTCTCCTGCGTTGCTGCCCCTTCTCCCAAAGCTGTAAATTCTGTGTTTTCCCTCAGTCCCAGCCAAAGCTCCCTCCTCAGCTGCTGTGCTTCCCTGCCAGCTTGTCCTCTGGCACATGGGCACAACCTGTTCCTGCCTGTGCCCTAAGGTTTCCTTCTTGGAGAATGTCCAGTCTTCCTGGACTCCTTTGGCCCTCAGGGCAGCGTCCCAGGGGACCCTCTCAACCAGCGTGGGTGGATTGACTCACCCTGGGGAACTCCTCAGACTGGACAGACCTTCGTCCACAGCATCACTGTCCCAGCCCTCAAGGTGCAAAACCACCTCCTGGGAAGGGGAGACCGGCTGGGAGGGGATTTGCTGCTGCCCCAAGCAGGGACTTGTTTCCATTCCTGGCATCCCTTTGCCCTGCTCCCTCACACCCGCCTGGCTCCCAGGCTGACGGTTGGAGACTTTTCACTCCTGATGCCACTGCACACCCTTGGGAGCTGAACTGAGCGGTGGAAACGGAGAGGGAGCTCTTGGTGGACAGGGGAACCCCTGGGAGAGGAGGGAAATGTTCAGGAGCGACAACTGGGAAGTTTTTGGGCGATGGTATTTCCCACCACTCAGTGGCTCCTGTCTCACTCCTCCAGGCAGCCTCGTCCCTCCCTGCAGCTCTGGAGGACTTTGTGACTCCCAAGCTGCTGCGGGGCAAAAAGGGCTTCCGAGGTGAGAGGATTTCTGACACCAGCTGGACACTGACCCTGCCTGAGGGGTTGGTGTCATCGAGCATGGCCATCATCTCAGAGAGGGTTAAGGCACAACCTTGTGAGACAGCTTTGTTCAATGTGGCTCTGAATAGCCTTCCCATAGTTGTCAGGGTGTGTGAGAGAGGAAACAGAGACCTGAGGAGGAATTTCTGCATGGCGAGGGTGGTCAGTCCTTGGCATGGGCTGCCCAGGGAGTGGTGGAGTCCCCATTGCCGGGGTGTTCAAGAAAGGCCTGGAGGTGGCACTCAGGGCTCCGGTGTAGCTGACAAGGTCCCAGGTTGGCCTGGATGGTGTTGGCAGCGTTTTCCCCCCTCCGTGGTGCTGTGCCGCTGTGCCCCTGTGCCTGGAGCCCGCCGTGCCCAAGCGCTGCCCGAGCCGGCCCGGCCCGACCCGGTTGCCCGCGCTTTTGTGCTGAGGGCGGGGGGGGGGCGGCTCCCGGGGCCGCCGCGCTGAGGCGGAGCTGCCTCTGAGGCGCAGCTGCGGCGCTTCCCTGCCGAGGCCGCGGCGCCTCTGCTGGCGCTACTGGGGGGCTTTGGGGCTTTGGCCGCCGTTCCCAAAGCTCCCCTCGGCTTCTTTGGACGGGGGTCCCTCCCGGTGCTGCCGCGCTCAGGTGGAGCTGCCGCTCGTCAGGGGCTCAAGGCTCCCCGCGCTGGGCCGGCGGAGCGGCGGGGCTGGGGCTCCCCTCGGTCTGTGCCGGCGACAGGTCCCGTGAATAGACACGGCCCTACTGCAATAACAACGGCCCCGCTGCAATCAGCAGGGTAGAGGACAGGGCTGAAGGAGAGCCTTCCTCTCGAGGTGGGCACTTCCCTCTCATCCCTGACACCGGGGAGACAGCCTGGAAGCAACAAGAGGAAGGGTCGAGGCTCCTCAATAAGCCAGGTAGCCCTGAGGGCCCAGACGTTTTGCTGGTTCCAGGAGAGGTCTTTGAAATCGTGGTCCATCATCACCTGGTGCCAGACAACGGTCCGGTGGGTGAGGGAATGGGACCGCAACACTGCACAAGGAAGTCTGACAAGGTAGAAAGTCAGGCTGCAATGGCAATTTATTGCGGCAGAGCAGGGACTTACATAGGGTCTGGGTCAGAAGGGCTTGGTAACAGGGGAGGAGCATGAGATTGACATCCCAGGGCATAACAGGATAGGAGAACTCAGGAAGGGAGGAGGAGCGTGGGAGGGGTCGGGCATTAGGGCCCAATGGGGACTCACCCGCACTGCAGCACTGCTCAGCCAATCAGTGCGGGATGAGCGGGAAAATGAGGGAGCGAACAACTTATGGCGGGAAAACAGCTCTGGGCAAGCCTGGCCATGCCCCGGGCTATCCAGGAAAATGGGGTTAATACAATCATATGAGGAAAACACACCAAACAATGTTTAAAACTGGCTACAAACAAGCAATTCCATAAGATAGAGTCCTGTCATGCGCCATAAATTTCTCTCCAGGCTTTAAAATGTTCCCAGTCAGACTCTGGCTCCTCAGCACAAGATGGTCTCCAAGACCAACCCGCTTCTAAGTCTTGCTGCTTAGCAAGAGGCAAGAGAATGAGGGAGCCTCTGGTTTCAGGGGCTAATGTCTTCCACAAGAGAACATCTCCAGACGCACAGCCTTGGAGGAGGGCAAGGAACACAGAGGGGAGGTAGGAGAGCTGCTGGGCACTGCTGGATGTGTCCTTCAGGGCAATGGGGAATGGAAGGAGCAACCCTCTCTCCCCTGCTGATCTTATCTCCTTTTGTCGCAGGAGAAACCAGAGCCCGTGGATGACACAACCACATTGGTGGTTGTTGCTGTCTGTCCTCGCTGTCATTTCTCTGACAGTGGTGTGTGTCCTTAAGGTAAGCCAGTATCTTGTTGGAGACACAGCTGTCAGTCAAGCCCTGTAGCTGCCATGCCCAGCTGAGGAGCCCCGTGCACGTGCCGGGTAGCACAGGAGATGTTTGGCCAACCCTGGAGCTTGTGGCAGCATCCACACCCCCAGCTCAGCAGGGTTCAGCCTGCTTGGGGGAACCTTGTCCTGGCCTCCTTCCCGACTCTCCACAGCAAAGCGTTCCTCTCCTGCCTTCTGCCATGCAGCAATGGGATTAGGAGAGCTCCGGGAACTTTCCAGGGTGTGCCCAAGCTCAGCGAAGCCGAGTTGCTGTTCCTTCAATACATCAGGGATGTCCTTGTTGCCAAGGAAAAAGCATTCTGGAAGAAGACACATTAGGAAGAAGTCAAGTGACGGAGAGAAGCCTTTCAAGAAAGTGACCCAGACATCAGGAGGAATTTCTGCATGGAAGGGCTGTTCAGGCATTGGCATGGGCTACCCAGGGAGTGGGAGTCCCCATCCCTGGAGGTGGTCAGAGAAGGCCTGGACGTGGCACTCAGTGCTCCGTTGTAGCTGACAAGGTTGTGGTTGGTCCTGAAGCTCAAGCACAAACAAAGAGCACAAGGAGAGAGGCAGCCAGGATTGGGTTGGACATAAACAGCTTTTCGATGAGGTGTTGGGCTCTGTGAAAGCCCAGGGAGCTGAACAGAGCCGTGGAACAGAGTGGGAGCTCTTGGTGGCCCTGGGAACCCCATGCGACATTGGAATTCAGAAATGTATAAGAACTGAGAGTATGTACAAGATAGAAACTCCCTTTAGCTGAGCCAAGTGATTGAAGGAAACAATGAGGAGGGGAACTGAGGCCCCCAGCCAGGCAACACCCAGTTCCTTTTTAAGCAGGTGCATTTTGGCAAAATGATGAGCGATGCATCTCAGAGCCGATTAAAGACTGCCTGATTACTACAACTCACAAATTGAGTCCTAGAAGTTTCTTTGATGTGCTGCTTTTAGGCAACCCTGGCACAGGAGGGAAATGTTCAAGAGTGCCACCTGGAATGTGTTTGGGTGAGGGCATTTTCTGCTGCTCAGTGCCTCCTGTCTCATTCCTCCAGGCAGCCTCGTCCCTCCCTGCAGCTCTGGAGGACTTTGTGACTCCCGAGCTGCTGCAGGGCAAAAAGGGCTTCCGAGGTGAGAGGATTTCTGACACCAGCTGGACACTGACACTGCCTGAGGGGCCGGTGTCATCGAGCATGGCTATCATCTCAGAGAGGGTTAAGGCACAACCTTGTGAGACAGCTTTGTTCAATGTGGCTCTGAATAGCCTTCCCATAGTTGTCAGGGTGTGTGAGAGAGGAAACAGAGACGTGAGGAGGAATTTCTGCATGGCGAGGGTGGTCAGTCCTTGGCATGGGCTGCCCAGGGAGTGGTGGAGTCCCCATTGCCGGGGTGTTCAAGAAAGGCCTGGAGGTGGCAGTCAGGGCTCCGGTGTAGCTGACAAGGTGTTGGCCGGTCCCAGGTTGGCCTGGATGGTGTTGGCGGCGTTTTCCCCCGTCCGTGGTGCTGTGCCCCTGTGCCTGGAGCCCGCCGTGCCCAAGCGCTGCCCGAGCCGGCCCGGCCCGACCCGGTTGCCCGCGCTTTTGTGCTGAGGGCGGGGGGGGGGCGGCTCCCGGGGCCGCCGCGCTGAGGCGGAGCTGCCTCTGAGGCGCAGCTGCGGCGCTTCCCTGCCGAGGCCGCGGCGCCTCTGCTGGCGCTGCTGGGGGGCTTCTGGGCTTTGGCCGCCGTTCCCAAAGCTCCCCTCGGCTTCTTTGGGGCGGGGGTCCCTCCCGGGGCCGCCGCGCTCAGGCGGAGCTGCCGCCTCTCATGGTCCCAACGCTTCCCGCCCTGCGGGGCTGCGGCTCCCTCAGCCTCTCCTGGCGGGAATGTCGAGCTTTCCCCGGTTTTCCAAAGCTCCCCTCGGTCTCCCAGAGCACTCGTGTGGTGGGTTAACCCCGGCTCGATGGCGGGTGCCCTCCAAAGCCCCTCTCTCACCACCCTGCGCAACTGGACAGGGCAGAGAAAATACAGGGAAAGGTTCCTGAGTTGAGGACAGGGAGAGATCACTCAGCGATTGCCGTCATGGGCAAAACAGGCTCAGCTTGGGGATAGTAATTCAATGTATTGCCAACAAAATCAGAGGGGCATAATGAGGAGTAAAATAAATCTTAAAAACACCTTCCATCACCGCTCCCTCCCTCCCGGGCTCTGCCTCCTCCGCGCCAGCGGCGCAGAGAGACGGGAATGGGGGACACGGTCAGTTCATCCCACCTTGTTCGGCCACTGCTCAGGGACAGGAGCCAGAGTCCTTTCCCTGCTCCAGCACAGGCTTCCCACAGTTCACAGCCTCCTTCAGGCATCCACCTGCTGCAGCGTGGGCTCCTCCACAGGCTGCAGGTGGATCTCTGCACCCCCATGGTCCTCCCTGGGCTGCAGGGGCACAGCTGCCTCAGCAGGGTCTTCACTATGGGCTGCAGGGGAATCTCAGCTCCAGAGCCCGGAGCACCTCCTGCCCCTGCTTCTCCTCTGACCTTGGGGTCTGCAGAGCTGTTCCCCTCACAGATTCTCACTTGACTCTGGCTGCAATTACATCTGTGCAATAACTTTTTTTCCCTTCTTAAGGATGTTATCCCAGAGGCATTACCTCCATTTCAGATTGGCTCAGCCTTGGACAGAGACATGTCCGCCCTGGAGCTGGCTGGCATTGGATCAGCTGGACATGGGGGAAGCTTCCTGCAGCTTCTCACAGAAGCCACCCCTGTAGCCTCTCCTCCGCTACCAAAACCTGCCCACGCAAACCCAATCCAAATGAGAATGGCTTCACACTGACTGAGAACAGGGTTAGATCGTGTATTGGGGGAGAATTCTTCCCTGTGAGAGTGCTGAGGCACCAGCACAGATTGCCCAGAGAAGCTGTGGCTCCCCCATCCTGTCCTTGAAGTGTTCAAGGCCAGACTGGACAGGACTTGGAGCAAAGTGCTCTAGTGAAAAGTGCCTCTGCCCATGGAAGGGGCAGGGGAGACTGGATGAGCCTTAAGGCCCCTTCCAAGCCAATCCATTCCAGGATTCCATGGGTTTATGGCTCTGTGTCAGAGTCATTTGGTGACAGGCTCGCCTGAACTCCAGTCGAGCTGTGAGCTCTGATGCCACCACTGTGACAAGAGCATCCCCACTGTGACATCAGCATCCCCACTGTGACACGAACACCACCAAGGCAAGCCCTTCTTTCTGCATCCCAGCCGACTCCAGCCAGTCGTGGTTCGCCATGGACTTGTTGACACGTGTCGTGCGTGCTCTGCTCCTGCTGGCCCTGCTGCTGGCAGTGACTCCCTGCCCAGGAGAGTCCAAGGAGCTGTGCCCGCACCCCTGCCGCTGCCAGAGGCGTGGACTGCTGGACTGCCGCCACGCCGGCCTGGCCACCGTGCCCCCGGCCACCCGCCGACGGGCCCTCACCGTCCTGTGAGTCCTGCCTGCCCCACACCCCCCTCCAGCTTCCCCTGCTCGCCTTCTTAGTGCTGGAAAGCCCAGCCGGGACAGCCGGCAGAGTCACTGCCAGGAGACACGGTGCCTTTGGGGGGTTGTGCTGCACTGGGAGGGTGAAGCCAGGCTGGCCAAGCCGTGCCTTCTCCAGGGAAATCCCACTTCCAGCTCAGCAGCCAAATGGGCAGGGGAAGGGCTTTTCCTCAGGGGTCTGTTGTTCCTTTGCAGAGATTTCACTGGCAACTCGATTGCTACTTTGGATGAACAAACATGGAAGGAATACCCCTGGACTGAGACTCTGTAAGTGCCAGGCAGCATTTCAAATGCCCGCAGTTGGGGTGTTTTCCATCCTTTGGTCTGGTTTTGAAGCAGCAGCACCACAGAACTCCTTCCCAAGTGAAGTCAAAGTTGGGCTGCTCCGCACGGAGGGCTGTGACTCCCCAGGCCTTCCCAGGATGCCAAGAAATGCCGTGAGCTGTGTGCCAGGCACGGGACCGTCCCCGTGGCTGTTTGCCCAGGGATCAGGCTCCGCTCAGCTCCAGCCAGCCAGGAGCAAGGGCCTGCTGGCCATGAGTGGGGACCATCCCTGCAGGGACCCCAAGAGTTGCTTCAGGAAAGCTGCCGCAGGGTATTTTCCCAGGAACATGCCATTGCCTGCGGTGGAGCGGCTGCTCTACCATTGTCCGTTTGTGTCATTGCAGAGTCCTCAGGGACAATGAGCTGCAGGCAGTGAAGAGCCATTCCCTGGAGGGGCTGTTCCTGCTGAAGCACCTGTAAGCACTGGCCCCTGCCCACCATGCCGGGCTACTGCCTCCCCCTCCCTTGGGGCCCTGCTGCTCAGCCCAGCCCTGGGCAAGTGGCCTTTGTCCTCCCGGCTTCCAGCCTGCAAATGCAAGTCAAAAGGACAGTGCCCATGGAGTGAACATTTTGTCTTCTCATTGCAACAGGGACTTGTCTGGCAATAGGATCCTGCTGATTGAGGAAGGTGCTTTTGAGCCACTGCCTTTCTTGAGGCTTCTGTGAGTCAGGAAGTTTCTTTGTGGTGTCTTTAGTGAAATCTTTCTGTTTAGAACCCTTTCTGTGTTAGAAAATGCTCCTGTTTTCAGCACAGTCACTACATGTCCCCTGGTAAAAGCACATTTCCTCCAAAGGGATCCTCCTTTGCCCCAGCATCCTGTAGGACAGACCCGATTGATTTCTGTCATCTTCTCTTTCCCCAGAAACCTCAGTGGGAATGGCCTCACACAGATCCACAGCAGCACTTTCCAGGCATGGCACGGGATGCAGTTTCTAGAGGAGCTGTAAGTGGGACAAGGTCCAAAGGCCCATCAGAGCCAGACCCCGCAGGGACACTGGGGCAGAGCTGCTCTGCCCTGTGTAAAGTACTGAATCCCACTGTGGATGTCAGCCAGGGAGCACCAGGAGTCTGCAGCCGGAAAGCCCCTTTCCCTCGACCTGCTTCTCTTCTCCAGGGCTTCCTTGAACCAGCCAGGCCATCCCCACCTGCCCTGACCCACAGAGCTCACGTCCTTCCCATCACCCCTCACAGCTCTCTGCTGCTTTTTCAGGATCCTAAGCCACAACCCCCTGACCGTGATTGCTGACACAGCATTCTTCAAGCTGCCTTCAGTCAACTATCTGTAAGTATTGACTCCTCTGGAGCAGATCAGCAGAGATCTTTGTGTCTCTCCAGTGGCCTGTTCTCTGGAAGCAGAGATCCAGGAGCAAATCTCCCTCTTCTCCCAGCCTCTTTGTGCTGGAGGCACAACTGTCCCCGGCACTGGCAGAACAAGTCCAATCAGTTGTGGTGTGTCCCCAGCTGCAAAGCACCCAAGCAGCTGGGACAGAAACTTTCAGAAACGAGAGACCTTCCAGGTCTGGGGCCACAGAGTGGCCAGAGGGCTCTGGGAATACTCCAGTCCTGTCTGAGCACTGGTGGCAGCAGTTCGGGGCTCCTGCCTCCTTCAGGGACTGGAGCTGCCCCCAGGGAAGAGCAGGAGGGTTTGGAGCTGGAGAATCCTTTCTGTTGGCATCTGTCTGCCCCGAGAGCTGCAGGGTCCCCTCCTGATTGCCAGGCCATGGTTTGGAGCAGGGCAAAGCAGAAGGCCGGTCGGGTCTTGAATGGCTTGTCTTTGATTAGGCAGAAGTGGATCCCTCTGCCAGCACCCCCACGCTCCTCGGGGGCCTGGGCTTGCTCTCAGAGCAGAGCTGTGGGAATGTCACCTGAAAATTGAATGTGGTCTTTGAAATGCTCGCAGGGACCTGAGTGCAACTCAAGTGACTCCGCAGACGTTGCTGCTGCTCCTGCAGACAACAGTGCACTTGGAAACCCTGTGAGTAGCTGGGACTGAGGGCCAGCCACCAGCAGAGCCTCAGTGCTGAGACAGGGGGTCTGCCTGGGAAACAAATCCCTCTGCCTCTAAATCACAACAACCCCAGGAAGCTTTAGGGTTCCTGTTGACTTCCTGGAACCTCCCAACCTCACCAGCTCCAAGGCAGAATTTCAAAGGGGGGTTTAGATCACGGCGGGTCTGTTTCTCTCTCTCAAATGTTTTTTTGGGACCAGTTCCACTTTCAAAGGAAAAATCACGTTTTTGGTGTTTTGGGATTCACGTGAGGGAAGTTTTCCAGAGCTGTGGCAGACATGGAAGCACATCCCCCAGGCCTTATCTGTGTGTTGGCCCCCATGGCCTCAGAGACATGGATTGGGACGCTGGGTTTTCCTCCAGTCAATAACCTCTTGTCTTTAGCAAACTGCCCAAGGATGTGGCCTGCTGCCTCTGCCAGGAGCATGCCAGCACCGAGACCCCGTGCAGGACCATCCAGTTCCTCTGTGAGAACCTGTGCAGCAGCAGCAGTGCCCAGTGTGCTGGTAGGTGTCCTGCTGAGCTTGGGGTAGCCCTCAAATGTGCCCAGTTGCCTCCAGCTTGAGGAGATGCTGCAGCACGGCCCCGTTTTGGGGCAATTCCTGATCTCCCCTTGGAGAAGACTTGGAACAAGCACGGGTTGGAAAGTTCCTGGTCATTCCACATATCTGGTGGGTCAAATACTGTCTGGATAAGAAAGAGCTCTCTGGGCTAAACAAACACAGGAGCTTCCAACCCACCCTGTGCATGTGGCCAAGGAAAGCAGGCCTGCCCTGTGCCCTTCCCAGCCACTGCTTCTAACCCCCAATTTCCCCTGAGAACCTCCTGAGCCTTTCCAGTGCCACCATAGCTTGGCCAGTCACAGCTCAGGGGCCAGAGGGGTCCCAGACCCAGCACACGTGTGGCCAAAGGGTGCAGCAGTGTTTGTGCTGCTCTGGCACGGTGACGTGGGCCCCAACCTGCCCCAAACCCACCCTGGGAAGCCCAAGACCCAGAAGGAGCGTGGATGCCCCTCAACAGGCTCTGCAGGCTCTGTGTCACCTCCCTGCCCATGTGCAGGAGAGAGGGCAGGAGCCCCCATGTGCTTTGCAGGGCATTAGATGAACACCAAACACTGTTAGTGCCTCAGCAGCCTCTGGGCTGATCTTCAGTCTGGGCTCTCTCTCTCTTCACTGGCTCCTGCAGAGTCTCGGGGTGACCAACCACCCCACCCAGCCATTGCCCCAGCCCAGGCACAGCCTGCAGCTCCTGCTCCACGTGAATTCCACAACCCCATGCCAGGCTTGATTCTGCTTGCCAGGCTCACTCGGACTTTCAAAGCTTTCTGGGGAATTTAGAAACCAGCACTGGCTCACATTGAGCTGTGGGAGAGTCTCCGACAGCAAACCCATTTCCCTGGGATGTTTCCCTCCCATCCAAACAGAGCCCTGGGAGACACCAGAAAAGAAACCTCTCCTGTTCTGCCCTGAGGGGACAATCAGAGTGATTTAAGGAGTCTTCTCCCCTCCCCAACACATCCACCACTCCCCTCACCCACTCCCTTGTCTCAGAGAGGAGCTCCTGCTGCTCGGGGGAAACCTCTGCCCCTGTGTTTGTGCCGAGTTGCTGATCTGCTGTCTTGGTGTTCTCCAGCTCACACAGGTCCTGTGGCACAGACACAGGGAGAAGTTATGGAAGTGAAGCCCTCCGGAAAAGCAAAGAGCAGCCCAGTATTGAACCTCAGGGCCAAGCAGCCTTCGCTGGGAGACCATGGAACCATAACTCTTGGGGTTGCCCTGACCCTGAGCAGCACTGAGGGGGATGTCAGCAGCCTCAAGGATTCCAGATCAGATTCATATCCCCCTGAGCACCTCTCCAGGCAGGAAGGCAAAACAGCTGATGATGAGCTGATGGTCGAGGTCAAGAATAATCTGCACAAGGCTAAAAGCATCAGGACTGTGAAAAGCATCGTCTCACGCCAGCCCCAGCCTGTCAGGGAGAAGGATGTGGAGGAAAAGTCAATCACAGTCTGGGAACGAAAGCAGAAGGGCTCCCATTTGAACTGGCAGGCATTAAACCCCTGGGATGAAGCTGGTGGGTTAAACCCCACTGAGGACGACTCTGGACACCACAAAGTATCCACACTGCCTTCAAAACAGTCCCCTTCGCACTCCACAGCAAAGGGACGTCGTTTCTCCAGGTCTGTCAATATTCAGGACTACTACAATGCTGTGGAACAGACTCAGAACACCATTGGGATGGAGGATGTGGAGGATAGAGAAGAGGAGGTGGAAGCCCCATCTTCAAAGCAGAATTATGGCTGGACTCAGAAACAGCACAATAAGAAGGCCAGCCAGCAAAAGCAGATGGAGTCCCATTTGAACTGGCAGGCATTAAACCCTTGGGATGGAGCTGGTGGGTTAAACCCCACTGATGAAGACTCTGTCTCTGGACACCACAAAGGTGTGGATGTAGCTCCATCTCCAATACGGAAATACATTTGGAAAAAGAAAGAGCACAAGAAGACCAACAGCCAGTATTGGGTTGGCCAAAATCCGCTTTTCTACCAGGTGTTGGGCCCTGCCAAAGCCCAGGGAGAGCCCACAGGCAGAGAAAGCAAAGCCCAGCAGGGTCTAAACAGGAACCTGGATTTTCTGTCTGACCCGCTGGTTAACAACGGCCCCGCTGCAATCAGCAGGGTAGAGGACAGGGCTGAAGGAGAGCCTTCCTCTCGGGGTGGGCACTTCCCCCTCCTGCCTGACACCAGGGAGACAGCCTGGAAGCAAGAAGAGGAAGGCTCCAGGCTCCTCAACAAGCCAGGTAGCCCTGAGGGCCCAGACGTTTTGCCGGTTCCCGGAGAGGACTTTGAAACCACGGTCGATCGTTCCCTGCGCTTGCTGGTGCCGGACGAAGGCCTGCGGATGTTCCTGGCCCACATGGAGCGAGCCCTGAGGACGGACTGCAGCCTGCCCGGGCTGCAGCTGGCCTGTGCCAAGATGGTCTCCAAGACTGGGCTGCTTCTAAATCTCCTCAGCAAGAGACAAGAGAGCGAGGGAGCCTCTGCTTTCACGAGACAGTGTCCTGTGGAAAAGAACATCTCCAGACACACAGCCTTGGAGGAGGGCAAGGAACACACAGGGCAGGTAGGAGAGCTGCTGGGCACTGCTGGATGTGTCCTTCAGGGCAATGGGGAATGGAAGGAGCAACCCTCTCTCCCCTGCTGATCTTGTCTCCTTTCCTCACTCCAGAAACGACGATCCAGGGACAAAGAAATATCGTTTGTGGTACTCCTGTCTGCCGTCACCACTGTTTTTGTGATGCTGAAGTGTGTCCTCCATGTAAGCTAATAACTCCTTTGACAGACAGCTCTCAGTCAAGCCCTGTAGCTGCAGAGCCCAGCTGAGGAGCCCCGTGCACGTGCCGGGTAGCACAGGAGATGTTTGGCCAACCCTGGAGCTTGTGGCAGCATCCACACCCCCAGCTCAGCAGGGTTCAGCCTGCTTGGGGGAACCTTGTCCTGGCATCCTTCCCGACTCTCCACAGTTTTGCTTTGCTCTCCTGCCTTCAGCCATGCAGCAATGGCGTTAGGAGAGCTTTTGCCCTCTCTTGTTTTGCAAAGTATGGCAAGAAAACTCTGGTGTTACATGTCTCCCTTTCTCCTTCCCCAGTTGTGCTTCGGATCTTGTGCAGATTGTTTCCAACCCCGACATAGTAGGAAATCATTGCTGAGAAGGTAATTACTCTCTGCTCATGCCACTGCTGTGCCACCAACAGTCTTTACTCTGAAGAGCAACTCATCCCCAGGCCCCCCAGCCATGCGGGAGCCGCTGCCAAAGACTCCCCTGCCTGTGTTTAAAACACGTTGCTTTTGGGAGAGACCCAGCAAAGGAGCCCAGAGTGGGAGCGATGGGCACACATGTCAGAGCACATCCCAACCAGCCCTTCTCTGCACCGCTGCTGGGGTGGGGGTCGGGCTCGGGGGGGTCCCCCATTGCTGCCACCACAAGGAAATCCCTCTCTGCTCCAGTTCCCAGCAAGACTCTCCTCTGGGGACGGCTCTGCCCTATTTCTCCCTGCCCTCCTCCCCAGAGAGGCTTTTAAAGAACTTGCTCCCATCCTTTCCAGATGCCTTTCCCACCCAGGGCTCATTCCCAGCCACGCCAGCCAGCGCTGTCCCTTCTGGGGCTCCCCAAATTCCTCAGGCTCTGCTGAAACACCTGCCAGAAGCAGGGAGAGGTGCTGGCACTGCTGCTGCCCTCCCTGGCCAAACCTCCCTGTTCATGGACTGGGAGCAGGGAATTCTGTGGAGATGATGCCCAAAAGCCTTTTTTCCCCCATCTCCCTTGCAAACTCCAATGGTTTGCCCTGCTGGAAATGTCACTTCCCGACTCCTCCAGTGGCTGCTTCCCCGACAGGGCAGGGCACACAGAGCCTTTCTGCCCTCAACCACCATCAACAGCTGCCTTCACTTTTGATCCTTATTTTCCCTTTGGATTTCTTCAGGTTCTTTGAGAAACTTCAGTGGAGAGGGAGGAAGAAGGAGTACAGCGAGGGAGAGGCTGTAGAGCAGGGAAGGGCAGGGAGCACATTCCAGTGCTGCCCCTCTGCCCACACTGCCTGCTCATCCTCACCTCTCCCAGTCATTCCTCTTCATGGCACTTTCCAGACAATGCCCAAGCTCAGCGAAGCTGAGTTGCTCTTTGTTCAGTACATCATGGATGTCCTTGATGCCAAGGAAAAAGCATTCCGGAAAGCGATACAACATAAAGAAGGCCCGTGAGGGAGAGAAGACTTTCAAGGAGGTGAGGAGGAAGGAAGAGCAATGGCAGTGCTTGTTCTCTAACTCCTGTTCCAGTCCAGGAACTGCCCAGGCTTTCCTTGGATGCTATTTCCTTGACTGTTATTTCCTTGCTCTTGCTGCAGAGGGAAGCCCAAAGCAGCCCAGGGAAGCAGCCACAGTGGGGCAGTGCCGGCAGCCCAGGACGAGGTGCCTGTGCCCAGTCACTGCAGTGCACCCCCAGAGCCGGCGCACTTATCCCTCCCCACAGAGGAGGCTGTGGGCACCCAAAAGAAGGCATCAAGCCCTCAGTCTCTTCTTCATCCTCTGTGCCAATGTTTCCCCCTGCATCCAATAAAAAATGGAGATTCTCCTTTTTCCTCCTCTGTTTGTTGATGTCTTTGTAAAAGCTTTTTCTGTTCTCTCTTACAGCAGTGGCCAAATTAAGTTCGAGCTGGGGCTTTTGCCTTTCTAACTTTCTCCCTGCATAACTTGGTGACATCCTCACTGTTCTCCTGCGTTGCTGCCCCTTCTTCCAAAGCTGTAAATTCTGTGTTTTCCCTCAGTCCCAGCCAAAGCTCCCTCCTCAGCTGCTGTGCTTCCCTGTGAGCTTGTCCTCTGGCACATGGGCACAACCTGTTCCTGCCTGTGCCCTAAGGTTTCCTTCTTGGAGAATGTCCAGTCTTCCTGGACTCCTTTGGCCCTCAGGGCAGCGTCCCAGGGGACCCTCTCAACCAGCGTGGGTGGATTGATTCACCCTGGGGAACTCCTCAGACCTGGACAGACCTTCATCCACAGCATCACTGTCCCAGCCCTCAAGGTGCAAAACCACCTCCTGGGAAGGGGAGACCGGCTGGGAGGGGATTTGCTGCTGCCCCAAGCAGGGACTTGTTTCCATTCCTGGCATCCCTTTGCCCTGCTCCCTCACACCCGCCTGGCTCCCAGGCTGACGGTTGGAGACTTTTCACTCCTGATGCCACTGCACACCCTTGGGAGCTGAACTGAGCGGTGGAAACGGAGAGGGAGCTCTTGGTGGACAGGGGAACCCCTGGGAGAGGAGGGAAATGTTCAGGAGCCACAATTGGGAAGTTTTTGGGCGATGGTATTTCTCACCACTCAGTGCCTCCTGTCTCACTCCTCCAGGCAGCCTCGTCCCTCCCTGCAGCTCTGGAGGACTTTGTGACTCCCAAGCTGCTGCAGGGCAAAAAGGGCTTCCGAGGTGAGAGGATTTCTGACACCAGCTGGACACTGACCCTGCCTGAGGGGCTGGTGTCATCGAGCATGGCCATCATCTCAGAGAGGGTTAAGGCACAACCTTGTGAGACAGCTTTGTTCAATGTGGCTCTGAATAGCCTTCCCATAGTTGTCAGGGTGTGTGAGAGAGCAAACAGAGACCTGAGGAGGAATTTCTGCATGGCGAGGGTGGTCAGTCCTTGGCATGGGCTGCCCAGGGAGTGGTGGAGTCCCCATTGCCGGGGTGTTCAAGAAAGGCCTGGAGGTGGCACTCAGGGCTCCGGTGTAGCTGACAAGGTGTTGGCCGGTCCCAGGTTGGCCTGGATGGTGTTGGCGGCGTTTTCCCCCCTCCGTGGTGCTGTGCCCCTGGGCCTGGAGCCCGCCGTGCCCAAGCGCTGCCCGAGCCGGCCCGGCCCGACCCGGTTGCCCGCGCTTTTGTGCTGAGGGCGGGGGGGGGGCGGCTCCCGGGGCCGCCGCGCTGAGGCGGAGCTGCCTCTGAGGCGCAGCTGCGGCGCTTCCCTGCCGAGGCCGCGGCGCCTCTGCTGGCGCTGCTGGGGGGCTTTTGGGCTTTGGCCGCCGTTCCCAAAGCTCCCCTCGGCTTCTTTGGACGGGGGTCCCTCCCGGGGCCGCCGCGCTCAGGCGGAGCTGCCGCCTCTCATGGTCCCAACGCTTCCCGCCCTGCGGGGCTGCGGCTCCCTCAGCCTCTCCTGGCGGGAATGTCGAGCTTTCCCCGGTTTTCCAAAGCTCCCCTCGGTCTCCCAGAGCACTCGTGTGGTGGGTTAACCCCGGCTCGATGGCGGGTGCCCTCCAAAGCCCCTCTGTCACCACCCTGCGCAACTGGACAGGGCAGAGAAAATACAGGGAAAGAAAGGTTCCCGAGTTGAGATAAGGACAGGGAGAGATCACTCAGCGATTGCCGTCATGGGCAAAACAGGCTCAGCTGGGGGATAGTAATTCCATTTATTGCCAACAGAATCAGAGGGGCATAATGAGGACGAAAATAAATCTTAAAAACACCTTCCCCCACCCCTCCCTCCCTCCCGGGCTCTGCCTCCTCCACGCCAGCGGCGCAGAGAGACGGGAATGGGGGACACGGTCAGTTCATCCCACCTTGTTCGGCCACTGCTCAGGGACAGGAGCCAGAGTCCTTTCCCTGCTCCAGCACAGGCTTCCCACAGTTCACAGCCTCCTTCAGGCATCCACCTGCTGCAGCGTGGGCTCCTCCACAGGCTGCAGGTGGATCTCTGCACCCCCATGGTCCTCCCTGGGCTGCAGGGGCACAGCTGCCTCAGCAGGGTCTTCACTATGGGCTGCAGGGGAATCTCAGCTCCAGAGCCCGGAGCACCTCCTGCCCCTGCTTCTCCTCTGACCTTGGGGTCTGCAGAGCTGTTCCCCTCACAGATTCTCACTTGACTCTGGCTGCAATTACATCTGTGCAATAACTTTTTTTCCTTCTTAAGGATGTTATCCCAGAGGCATTACCTCCATTTCAGATTGGACTCAGCCTTGGACAGAGGCGTGTCCGCCCTGGAGCTGGCTGGCATTGGATCAGTTGGACATGGGGGAAGCTTCCTGCAGCTTCTCACAGAAGCCACCCCTGTAGCCTCTCCTCCGCTACCAAAACCTGCCCACGCAAACCCAATCCAAATGAGAATGGCTTCACACTGACTGAGAACAGGGTTAGATCGTGTATTGGGGGAGAATTCTTCCCTGTGAGAGTGCTGAGGCACCAGCACAGATTGCCCAGAGAAGCTGTGGCTCCCCCATCCTGTCCCTGAAGTGTTCAAGGCCAGACTGGACAGGACTTGGAGCAAAGTGCTCTAGTGAAAAGTGCCTCTACCCATGGAAGGGGCAGGGGAAGCTGGATGAGCCTTAAGGCCCCTTCCAAGCCAGTCCATTCAAGGATTCCATGGTTTTATGGCTCTGTGTCAGAGTCATTTGGTGACAGAGTCACCTGAACTCCAGTCCAGCTGTGAGCTCTGATGCAGCACCACCACTGTGACAAGAGCATCCCCACTGTGACAAGAGCATCCCCACTGTGACATCAGCATCCCCACTGTGACACGAACACCACCAAGGCAAGCCCTTCTTTCTGCATCCCAGCCGACTCCAGCCAGTCGTGGTTCGCCATGGACTTGCTGACACGTGTCGTGCGTGCTCTGTTCCTGCTGGCCCTGCTGCTGGCAGTGACTCCCTGCCCAGGAGAGTCCAAGGAGCTGTGCCCGCACCCCTGCCGCTGCCAGAGGCGTGGACTGCTGGACTGCCGCCACGCCGGCCTGGCCACCGTGCCCCCGGCCACCCGCCGACGGGCCCTCACCGTCCTGTGAGTCCTGCCTGCCCCACACCCCCCCTCCAGCTTCCCCTGCTCGCCTTCTTAGTGCTGGAAAGCCCAGCCGGGACAGCCGGCAGAGTCACTGCCAGGAGACACGGTGCCTTTGGGGGGTTGTGCTGCACTGGGAGGGTGAAGCCAGGCTGGCCAAGCCGTGCCTTCTCCAGGGAAATCCCACTTCCAGCTCAGCAGCCAAATGGGCAGGGGAAGGGCTTTTCCTCAGGGGTCTGTTGTTCCTTTGCAGAGATTTCACTGGCAACTCGATTGCTACTTTGGATGAACAAACATGGAAGGAATACCCCTGGACTGAGACTCTGTAAGTGCCAGGCAGCATTTCAAATGCCCGCAGTTGGGGTGTTTTCCATCCTTTGGTCTGGTTTTGGAGCAGCAGCACCACAGAACTCCTTCCCAAGTGAAGTCAAAGTTGGGCTGCTCCGCACGGAGGGCTGTGACTCCCCAGGCCTTCCCAGGATGCCAAGAAATGCCGTGAGCTGTGTGCCAGGCACGGGACCGTCCCCGTGGCTGTTTGCCCAGGGATCAGGCTCCGCTCAGCTCCAGCCAGCCAGGAGCAAGGGCCTGCTGGCCATGAGTGGGGACCATCCCTGCAGGGACCCCAAGAGTTGCTTCAGGAAAGCTGCCGCAGGGTATTTTCCCAGGAACATGCCATTGCCTGCGGTGGAGCGGCTGCTCTACCATTGTCCGTTTGTGTCATTGCAGAGTCCTCAGGGACAATGAGCTGCAGGCAGTGAAGAGCCATTCCCTGGAGGGGCTGTTCCTGCTGAAGCACCTGTAAGCACTGGCCCCTGCCCACCATGCCGGGCTACTGCCTCCCCCTCCCTTGGGGCCCTGCTGCTCAGCCCAGCCCTGGGCAAGTGGCCTTTGTCCTCCCGGCTTCCAGCCTGCAAATGCAAGTCAAAAGGACAGTGCCCATGGAATGAACATTTTGTCTTCTCATTGCAACAGGGACTTGTCTGCCAATAGGATCCTGCTGATTGAGGAAGGTGCTTTTGAGCCACTGCCTTTCCTGAGGCTTCTGTGAGTCAGGAAGTTTCTTTAGTGAAATCTTTCTGTTTAGAACCCTTTCTGTGTTAGAAAATGCTCCTGTTTTCAGCACAGTCACTACATGTCCCCTGGTAAAAGCACATTTCCTCCAAAGGGATCCTCCTTTGCCCCAGCATCCTGTAGGACAGACCCGACTGATTTCTGTCATCTTCTCTTTCCCCAGAAACCTCAGTGGGAATGGCCTCACACAGATCCACAGCAGCACTTTCCAGGCATGGCACGGGATGCAGTTTCTAGAGGAGCTGTAAGTGGGACAAGGTCCAAAGGCCCATCAGAGCCAGACCCCGCAGGGACACTGGGGCAGAGCTGCTCTGCCCTGTGTAAAGTACTGAATCCCACTGTGGATGTCAGCCAGGGAGCACCAGGAGTCTGCAGCCGGAAAGCCCCTTTCCCTCGACCTGCTTCTCTTCTCCAGGGCTTCCTTGAACCAGCCAGGCCATCCCCACCTGCCCTGACCCACAGAGCTCACGTCCTTCCCATCACCCCTCACAGCTCTCTGCTGCTTTTTCAGGATCCTAAGCCACAACCCCCTGACCGTGATTGCTGACACAGCATTCTTCAAGCTGCCTTCAGTCAACTATCTGTAAGTATTGACTCCTCTGGAGCAGATCAACAGAGATCTTTGTGTCTCTCCAGTGGCCTGTTCTCTGGAAGCAGAGATCCAGGAGCAAACCTCCCTCTTCTCCCAGCCTCTTTGTGCTGGAGGCACAACTGTCCCCGGCACTGGCAGAACAAGTCCAATCAGTTGTGGTGTGTCCCCAGCTGCAAAGCACCCAAGCAGCTGGGACAGAAACTTTCAGAAACGAGAGACCTTCCAGGTCTGGGGCCACAGAGTGGCCAGAGGGCTCTGGGAATACTCCAGTCCTGTCTGAGCACTGGTGGCAGCAGTCCGGGGCTCCTGCCTCCTTCAGGGACTGGAGCTGCCCCCAGGGAAGAGCAGGAGGGTTTGGAGCTGGAGAATCCTTTCTGTTGGCATCTGTCTGCCCCGAGAGCTGCAGGGTCCCCTCCTGATTGCCAGGCCATGGTTTGGAGCAGGGCAAAGCAGAAGGCCGGTCGGGTCTTGAATGGCTTGTCTTTGATTAGGCAGAAGTGGATCCCTCTGCCAGCACCCCCACGCTCCTCGGGGGCCTGGGCTTGCTCTCAGAGCAGAGCTGTGGGAATGTCACCTGAAAATTGAATGTGGTCTTTGAAATGCTCGCAGGGACCTGAGTGCAACTCAAGTGACTCCGCAGACGTTGCTGCTGCTCCTGCAGACAACAGTGCACTTGGAAACCCTGTGAGTAGGTGGGACTGAGGGCCAGCCACCAGCAGAGCCTCAGTGCTGAGACAGGGGGTCTGCCTGGGAAACAAATCCCTCTGCCTCTAAATCACAACAACCCCAGGAAGCTTTAGGGTTCCTGTTGGCTTCCTGGAACCTCCCAACCTCACCAGCTCCAAGGCAGAATTTCAAAGGGGGGTTTAGAGCACGGCGGGTCTGTTTCTCTCTCTCAAATGTTTTTTTGGGACCAGTTCCACTTTCAAAGGAAAAATCACGTTTTTGGTGTTTTGGGATTCACGTGAGGGAAGTTTTCCAGAGCTGTGGCAGACATGGAAGCACATCCCCCAGGCCTTATCTGTGTGTTGCCCCCCATGGCCTCAGAGACATGGATTGGGACGCTGGGTTTTCCTCCAATCAATAACCTCTTGTCTTTAGCAAACTGCCCAAGGATGTGGCCTGCTGCCTCTGCCAGGAGCATGCCAGCACCGAGACCCCGTGCAGGACCATCCAGTTCCTCTGTGAGAACCTGTGCAGCAGCAGCAGTGCCCAGTGTGCTGGTAGGTGTCCTGCTGAGCTTGGGGTAGCCCTCAAATGTGCCCAGTTGCCTCCAGCTTGAGGAGATGCTGCAGCACGGCCCCGTTTTGGGGCAATTCCTGATCTCCCCTTGGAGAAGACTTGGAACAAGCACGGGTTGGAAAGTTCCTGGTCATTCCACATATCTGGTGGGTCAAATACTGTCTGGATAAGAAAGAGCTCTCTGGGCTAAACAAACACAGGAGCTTCCAACCCACCCTGTGCATGTGGCCAAGGAAAGCAGGCCTGCCCCGTGCCCTTCCCAGCCACTGCTTCTAACCCCCAATTTCCCCTGAGAACCTCCTGAGCCTTTCCAGTGCCACCATAGCTTGGCCAGTCACAGCTCAGGGGCCAGAGGGGTCCCAGACCCAGCACACGCGTGGCCAAAGGGTGCAGCAGTGTTTGTGCTGCTCTGGCACGGTGACGTGGGCCCCAACCTGCCTCAAACCCACCCTGGGAAGCCCAAGACCCAGAAGGAGCGTGGATGCCCCTCAACAGGCTCTGCAGGCTCTGTGTCACCTCCCTGCCCATGTGCAGGAGAGAGGGCAGGAGCCCCCATGTGCTTTGCAGGGCATTAGATGAACACCAAACACTGTTAGTGCCTCAGCAGCCTCTGGGCTGATCTTCAGTCTGGGCTCTCTCTCTCTTCACTGGCTCCTGCAGAGTCTCGGGGTGACCAACCACCCCACCCAGCCATTGCCCCAGCCCAGGCACAGCCTGCAGCTCCTGCTCCACGTGAATTCCACAACCCCATGCCAGGCTTGATTCTGCTTGCCAGGCTCACTCGGACTTTCAGAGCTTTCTGGGGAATTTAGAAACCAGCACTGGCTCACATTGAGCTGTGGGAGAGTCTCCGACAGCAAACCCATTTCCCTGGGATGTTTCCCTCCCATCCAAACAGAGCCCTGGGAGACACCAGAAAAGAAACATCTCCTGTTCTGCCCTGAGGGGACAATCAGAGTGATTTAAGGAGTCTTCTCCCCTCCCCAACACATCCACCACTCCCCTCACCCACTCCCTTGTCTCAGAGAGGAGCTCCTGCTGCTCGGGGGAAACCTCTGCCCCTGTGTTTGTGCCGAGTTGCTGATCTGCTGTCTTGGTGTTCTCCAGCTCACACAGGTCCTGTGGCACAGACACAGGGAGAAGTAATGGAAGTGGAGCCCTCCGGAAAAGCAAAGAGCAGCCCAGTATTGAACCTCAGGGCCAAGCAGCCTTCGCTGGGAGACCATGGAACTGTAACTCTTGGGGTTGCCCTGACCCTGAGCAGCACTGAGGGGGATGTCAGCAGCCTCAAGGATTCCAGATCAGATTCATATCCCCCTGAGCACCTCTCCAGGCAGGAAGGCAAAACAGCTGATGATGAGCTGATGCTTGAGGTCAAGAATAATCTGCACAAGGCTAAAAGCATCATGACTGTGAAAAGCATCGTCTCACGCCAGCCCCAGCCTGTCAGGGAGAAGGATGTGGAGGAAAAGTCAATCACAGTCTGGGAACGAAAGCAGAAGGGCTCCCATTTGAACTGGCAGGCATTAAACCCCTGGGATGAAGCTGGTGGGCTAAACCCCTCTGAGGATTATTCTGAACACCACAAAGTATCCACACTGCCTTCAAAACAGTCCCCTTCGCACTCCACAGCAAAGGGACGTCGTTTCTCCAGGTCTGTCAATATTCTGAACTACTACAATGCTGTGGAACAGACTCAGAACACCATTGGGATGGAGGATGTGGAGGATAGAGAAGAGGAGGAGGAAGCCCCATCTTCAAAGCAGAACTATGGTTGGACTCAGAAACAGCACAACAAGAAGGCCAGCCAGCAAAAGCAGCGGGATTCCCATTTGAACTGGCAGGCATTAAACCCTTGGGATGGAGCTGGTGGGTTAAACCCCACTGATGAAGACTCTGTCTCTGGACACCACAAAGATGTGGATGTAGCTCCATCTCCAATAAGGAAATACATTTGGAAAAAGAAAGAGCACAAGAAGACCAACAGCCAGTATTGGGTTGGCCAAAATCCGCTTTTCTACCAGGTGTTGGGCCCTGCCAAAGCCCAGGGAGAGCCCACAGGCAGAGAAAGCAAAGCCCAGCTGGGTCTAAACAGGAACCTGGATTTTCTGTCTGACCCGCTGGTTAACAACGGCCCCGCTGCAATCAGCAGGGTAGAGGACAGGGCTGAAGGAGAGCCTTCCTCTCGAGGTGGGCACTTCCCCCTCCTGCCTGACACCAGGGAGACAGCCTGGAAGCAACAAGTGGAAGAGTTCAGGTCCCTCAACAAGCCAGGTAGCCCTGAGGGCCCAGACGTTTTGCCCGTTCCAGGAGAGGACTTTGAAACCACGGTCGATCGTTCCCTGCGCTTGCTGGTGCCGGACGAAGGCCTGCGGATGTTCCTGGCCCACATGGAGCGAGCCCTGAGGACGGACTGCAGCCTGCCCGGGCTGCAGCTGGCCTGTGCCAAGATGGTCTCCAAGACTGGGCTGCTTCTAAATCTCCTCAGCAAGAGACAAGAGAGCGAGGGAGCCTCTGCTTTCATGAGACAGTGTCTTCTACAAGAGAACATCTCCAGACGCACAGCCCTGGAGGAGGGCAAGGAACACAGAGGGGAGGTAGGAGAGCTGCTGGGCACTGCTGGATGTGTCCTTCAGGGCAATGGGGAATGGAAAGAGCAACCCTCTCTCCCCTGCTGATCTTATCTCCTTTTGTCCCAGCAGAAAGCAATGAAACATTCCCAGGAGAGATTCCAGTTTGCGATATTGGTGTTGATCTTCTACATCACATATTTTATATTGCATTGTCTCATTGAGGTAAGCCAGTAACTCCTTTGACAGACAGCTGTCAGTCAAGCCCTGTAGCTGCAGAGCCCAGTTGAGGAGCCCCGTGCACGTGCCGGGTAGCACAGGAGATGTTTGGCCAACCCTGGAGCTTGTGGCAGCATCCACACCCCCAGCTCAGCAGGGTTCAGCCTGCTTGGGGGAACCTTGTCCTGGCAGCCTTCCTGACTCTCCACAGCTTTGCTTTGCTCTCCTGCCTTCAGCCATGCAGCAATGGGATTAGGAGAGCTCTGGGTGTTCATTCATGTTCCGGAGGCAGGGGGAAGCAGGAAGCTGGGAAGGGCAGACAGGCTTTTCTAAAAATTGTGGCTGCTGGCACAGACTTGAACATGTGTAGAATGGGCTGGGTTGGAGGAAGAACCTTTTGGCCTCCGTTTTTTTGCAGAGCATGACAAGAAAACTCTGGTATTACAAGTCTCTCTTTCTCCATCCCCAGACATGCTCCGAGCCTCATGAAGATGATTTCCAACCCCAATGCCGTAGGAAATCATTGCTGAGAAGGTAATTACTCCCTGCCCATGCCACTGCTGTGCCACCAACAGTCTTTACTCTGAAGAGCAACTCATCCCCAGGCCCCCCAGCCATGCGGGAGCCGCTGCCAAAGACTCCCCTGCCTGTGTTTAAAACACGTTGCTTTTGGGAGAGACCCAGCAAAGGAGCCCAGAGTGGGAGCGATGGGCACACATGTCAGAGCACATCCCAACCAGCCCTTCTCTGCACCGCTGATGGGGTGGGGTCGGGCTCGGGGGGGTCCCCCATTCCTGCCACCACAAGGAAATCCCTCTCTGCTCCAGTTCCCAGCAAGACTCTCCTCTGGGGACGGCTCTGCCCTATTTCTCCCTGCCCTGCTCCCCACAGAGGCTTTTAAAGAACTTGCTCCCATCCTTTCCAGATGCCTTTCCCACCCAGGGCTCATTCCCAGCCACGCCAGCCAGCGCTGTCCCTTCTGGGGCTCCCCAAATTCCTCAGGCTCTGCTGAAACACCTGCCAGAAGCAGGGAGAGGTGCTGGCACTGCTGCTGCCCTCCCTGGCCAAACCTCCCTGTTCATGGACTGGGAGCAGGGAATTCTGTGGAGATCATGCCCAAAAGCCTTTTTTTTCCCCATCTCCCTTGCAAACTCCAATGGTTTGCCTTGCTGGAAATGTCACTTCCTGACTCCTCCAGTGGCTGCTTCCCTGACAGGGCAGGGCACACAGAGCCTTTCTGCCCTCAACCACCATCAACAGCTGCCTTCACTTTTGATCCTTATTTTCCTTTTTTTTTTTTTATCAGGTTCTTTAAAATACCATGCCGGAGAGGGAGGAAAAAAGAGTACAAGGCAAAGTCTTTAGAGCAGGTAAGAGCAGGGAGCACATTCCAGTGCTGTCCTTCTGCCCACACTGCCTGCTCATCCTCACCTCTCCCAATTATTCCCCTCCACGGCGCTTTCCAGCACTTGCCTGTTTCCCATCACTTCAAAGTCAAACCCAGAGTATTCCCAGCAAGTTGAAGTGTGTAGGAAAGTCTCTTCCTCCACACCCCAGTACTCTGCATTGCACAGCTCATCCAGGGATTTGTTTTCCTGGGAATCGAGGGCCTGGCGGGTGTTTTTAAGACAAGCAATACCTGTGCTGCTTCTTCAGGTCTTGTTCTGATGTAGGAACTGTTGAGGTTTCCTTGGATGCTATTCCCTTGGTGGCTATATCCTTGGAACCTAGTTCCCTAACTGTTATTTCCTTGTCATTTTCTTAGTCTTATTTCCTTGGATCCTATTTCCTTGGAGTCTGTTTCCTTGGCTGTTTCCTTACTGATGTTTCCTTGACGCTTTCCTTGAATGTTATTTCCTTCACTGTTACTTCCTTGGATATGATTTCCTTGCTGTTATTCCAGGTGGATGAAACTTGAGGAACTGCCTTTGCCCAGACCCAAGATGCTCCTGCCCGGACGCTGCCCTGCCTCCAGCACCCCAAAATCTGGGCCGCTGACTCCGTGAGCCCTCTCTGCAGAGAGGATGCTGCAGGCGGCTGCCGTGCTCAGGACACCCTGAGGAGCCTCCCTGGGCACCTGGGAACAGGGTGGGATGCCCTGGGCCCTCCAAAGCTCCTCCTTAGGGAACAGGAAGGGGTGATCCAGGCAGCCCCAGGTGTCCTGAGCAGCCGCTGCCGCTGCGCAGGCTCCGGAGCGCGCAGCCTTGCCAGGGCTGCAATGTCCAGGGGGTCAGCTCGTGTGGCAGGGTCCCCTCCCCACAGCACCTTTTGTTCATCTGTTTTGTCTTTCCCGGTTGGGAATGCTTTCCCAATAAATCCTGTTTTCTGCAGCCAGAGTGTCCTGTGAGCAGGGAGGAAGGGGGGAAGTGTCTGTGTGTGTGTGGCTGTTTCCGTGTGTGTGTGTACAGACTGGGGAATGAGAGGCTGGAGAGCAGCTGCAGGAAAGGGCCCTGGGGGTCCTGGTGGGTGGCCAGCTGGCCATGACTCAGCAGTGCCCTGGCAGCCAGGAGGGCCAACCCTGTCCCGGGGGGCATCGGGCCCAGAGGGAAGGGACTGTCCCGCTCTGCTCTGACCTCGGGTGGCCTCACCTGCAATATTGGGGCAGTCTGGGGGCACACAATATAAAAGAAGACACTGAATATTAGCATTCAAAGGAGGCCATGAGGATGATGAAAGGCCTTGAGAGGAAGCCGTATGAGGAGGCTGAGGTCACTTGGTTTGTTCAGCAGGAGAAGAGGGGACTGAGGTCAGACCTCACTGGTGTTTTCAAATTCCTCCCAAGGGGCAGTGGAGGGGCAGCTCCGATCTCTGCTCGCTGTGGTCAGTGACACGACCCAGGGAACTGCTGGAGCTGTGCCAGGGGAGGGTCAGGTTGAACCTCAGGAAAAGGTTCTTCCCCCAGAGGGTGGTTGGCACTGACCAGGCTCCCCAGGGCAGTGGGCACAGCCCCAAGGCTGCCAGAGCTCCAGGAGGGTTTGGACAACGCTCTGAGGGACAGGGTGGGATTGCTGGGGTGTGAGTGCAGGGCCAGGGGTCGGAGCGGACGCTCCCTGCGCTCCCTCCCAGCTCAGGACATCCCACCGCGTCCCTGCGGCCCCGTCCCGGTGCCCGCGCGCGCCCCCGCGCGGTGCCCGCGGGAAGGCGGGAGGGGCGTGGCCCGGTTGCGCGGTGACGTCACGAGGGGCGGGACGTGCGCGCTCCCGGCATTTCCGGGTTCCCCGGGCGGAGGCGCGGAGCCGGTGAGGGGGGGCGGGAGCGGGGGGGTAACGGGGGGCCGGTGTGAGGGGGGTCTGACATGGCGTGAGGGGTGTTGGGGTGCGGACGGGGCGTGCGGGGTGTTGGGCGTCCGTGGGGTGCGGGGGAGGGCCCGTGCGGTGCAGACGGGGCGTGCAGGGAGCGGGGGTCTGATAAGGGGTGCAGGGTGATTGAGGTCTAACAAGGGGTACAGAGTGATGGGGGCACAGGGCGAGGGGTCTGACAAGGGGCACAGAGTGGTAGGGGTCTGACAGGGGGTACAGGGTGATTGTGGGTTGACAGGGAGTGTAGGTGATCGGTGTCTGACAGGGGGTGCAGGGTAATGAGGGGTCTGACGAGGAGTGCAGGTGAGGGGGCCATGGGGTACAAGGTGATGAGGTGTCTGATGGGGCGCAGGGTGAGGGGGTGCAGAGTGGTGCAAGCAAACACTGCCCCCCTCCAGCTCCCCACGGCCACTGACCCTTCCCCACACCAGCCCTGCCTGCATCTCCCTGGGCAGGGCCCGATCTCCCCCCAGCCCACCCGTGCCAGGCCCCACACAGGTCAGGGTTAGGGTGGGGTGGCAGCAGGTCAGGTGCACCCCTGTGGGGTCCCACAGCGGGTTGGTGCCTGGTCCTCAATCCCCTCCCGCCAGCACTGACACCCCAAACCTCTCGGCCTGTTCCTCCACCAGCCCAAGATCCCACTGCCTGTGGGATCCCTGCAGCTTTCCCTGGTTTATCAGGCATTCCATCCTCAATAAACCACGGATTTTTCACTGAAAGTGACCAGCTCTGGGTAGTTCTTGTGAAAATACAGAGTTTAAAAAGTCGTCTCCTTGTCGCCTTCCCTTCCAGTGACCCCCTGTCTCCCATCCCCACGGATGCGAACCCCCCGCTGCGCCGGATGGCACCGGGAAAACCAACTGGGAAACTCCAGCGCCGGGAATCCGAAGGGACACGAAAACTGGGAGTATTAAATCTGGGAACACCTTGCCTCGACACGCTGGGGGTTTCAGAACCCTCTTCGCCCCTGCGGCGGCTCCCTCAGAAAATCAACTCCAGCTCTCCCTGTGGCTCCAGCAAATTGTAGCCTGGTGCAGGAGTAGGCAACAGGTTGAAGGGAATTCCCGGTTTGGAGTGTTGGGAAACACAGTCTCACCATCCAGGCTGGGAGCTCAGTGGCTGCTCCTCCTGCCCCGGCTGCTCCTGGGCTCCCGCAGGGCAGAACTCGGAGGGTTCATCAGCGACGACGCTTCCCTGGCCACCAGCAGGTTTGTGAGCTGCGAGGAGATGGTTCTGTGGGGATGAGGGTGGTGTGATGGACCTGTTCCTCATGCCAGGCCTGTGTTCCTGCCCTGGGAGTCACAGCAGTGCTGCCTCAGGCCAGGCTGGGTTCAGGGAAGGAACCAAAGTCAGACCATGAGGGTGATCTGCCCTTGCCAACCTGTTTCCAAGGGGTTTTATCCTCCACCCAGCCACCTCACCAGCCATGCCAGCTGCCTCCCCTGCTGCCAGGCTGCCTCTGTCTGGGCTCAGCTTGTGTTTTTAGCGTGGCCAGGGTGGAATGCAGGAGCTGGGTGGGAGGACAGGGTTGTCCCCACATCGGCCCTTGGACCCACCATCCCGTCAGAGCCCCCATGTCCTGGGGCAGAAGGTGACTGGCACAGCCCTCGTGCTTGGAAAATGACTGGTCCCGTGTCCAGGCCTTGAGTCACCAGCTCACGCCGCCGTCGTGGGCTGTTGTTTTCCACCCGCTGAGCACAGGCAGTGACCTGCTGTTTATTTATAACTCACTTCTTGGGAGACTGAGGAGCCGAGCTCTGGGACGGGGGGCTCTGCCTCTGCTGGCACAAGGCTTGATTCCAGCAAGGATCCCAAAGAATCTGGCTGTTTTGCAGCAGTTTGGGAAAGCAGCAGCTCTGCCCTTGCACCAGTGTCTCTCCTCCTCGGTAGGTCAAACTCCTTCTCTGGGGCTGTTCCTCACTTGTTTGATTTTCACTCGAGCTGCAGGGGTGGTGACTGCTGGGAAACCTCGTGGGTTTTCTCTGCTGTAGATGGGCTTGTCTGTGTTTGCACATCCATCCCGTCTCTTATGCCTTCAAGATCACAGGGAACAGCCGTGGCTTTCCAGGATCTGCCTGGTAGTGCTCCAGAGCCCCCTGGTTCCTTCTAGAGCCAGTGCCAGGGCTGCCGATCCGATTTCCCTGTGTTCCCCAATTTCCTCCCAGCACAAGTCTTGGGTGAAATCCACCTTGGAGCTGGTTCCTTGCACTCATTATTCAGGAAAATGTTGTCCCAACATAAGTGGTGCCGCGTGGATTCGTGGTGCTGGAACAAACTGGTCAGACTGGTTGTGGTGGGAGTGGAGAGTCCTGTGGTGAAGGCGGCGGGTGCCCTCAGTGTCTTACCTCCTGCAGTTGCTGGAGGAGGTGATGCTGGCAAAGGAACATGTCTTTTGGAGGAATAACACTCGCTTTGTAAAACTTAGGCAAGGTCTTTGTAAAACTTAAGACGAGGTCTTTGCAAAACCACCGCTGTCATCCCTTTCCCTGTGACCGGCTCAGGATGTCAGGGTGGCCAATGCCAAGAGCAGGGGTGGTGGCTGCAGTCCTGGAGCTGAAACACCTGTGCTGCCTGTCTGGGCATGAGAAATGCTACCCTATGCCCACCCTCGGGTCTTCTCCCACCCTCAGTGTCTCAGGTGGGATGTGTCTCTTGTTCACAGGGTGTAGCAGGATGTGGGGGGAAAAGGGGCAGAGTTTGTCCAGCCCCAAGGAGCCTGAGCCTCCTGGATGGAGGGCAGAGATGGGGATGGCTCCCTGCTGTCCTCATCAACCACTGCTGCCACTTAGGGATTGCCTCGCTCCCCAAACACCCCAGCAGCCTCTTGAGCCAGAGGTCAACTTCCCTGTAATCCCTGCACTCTCCCATTTCTGTGTTGCAACCCAAAGGGAGGAAATCTTATGACAAGTCGTGGCAAAAACAGTTTCCTTTTCTCTGAAATTGCCTGTGAACTCTGGAAACACTGAGGATCAATCTGAGGTTTGGCCCCAAAGAGCTCTTGTCCTGGTGCTCCCAGCACCAGTGGCTGGTGGGGTACCTGCAGGGGCTGCTCTTGGTCTGGGCTGCTCCAGATTTAAACTACTCTGGATTTGGGCTGCTCTGGGTTTAAACTGCTCTGGATTTGGACCACCACTGCCCTTGGGAGTGGCCATGGTCATGTAGGAGCTGCTCAGTAAAGCACAGTTCTGCCCAGGCTTGGCAGGAGAGGGGCAGGTTGATGCCGTCAGCTCTGCTCAGGAAAAGCTCTGGGATTTTTGTGTTGGCTTGGAAATAAAACCTAAAAACATCGATGCCCATTCCAAGGCCATTGTCTGCCAGGGGCATATCCAACCCTGTGGCCAGTGCTGGGTTCC